TGAGTTTTGTTATGGTTTATACTTTATTAAGTCCAAATGGTCCCAAAAAAAACATTAATATTTATTTTATTATGGTTTATAAACTTTTAAATACTGTGTTTTACTTCCTTAAAAATTTAAATTCTTCTATTTCATTAACCCAACATCATACTTACTATATATATAGCTTTAAATATTTGTTCTTCTATAAACATTTACTATTCAAAATCAAGTAAATGGGACAAAAAGACATGTCTATCTATATTAAGTTTATGCTAAATAATTTATTATAAATGAATGATAAAGACAAAAAATAATTTATTGACTATAATATAAATGACAATAAAATAAAATTTTAACCAACTTTCTAATTTGAGTATAGTTTAATTGGTCAAGACTTCTATCGGTCAGCAATAAATAACATATACATTTTTGAAAAAGACATATACTCCTTTTGAAATTAAAAGTTTAAATCTTTGTACCTCAATTATATGTAAGAGACCAACTTTCTAGTACTTATTTTAAGCTGACTTTCAATGCTTATAATAAAGATATTTATCCATAATCATTGTCAACCTAAACCTAGCTATATTGGTTAAAATTATGAATTATCGATCAAAAATTTTTATGTTCGAATTCTCATCTCATATATTCGTTGTCTTAAAAATAAATATTATTCACAATAATTTGATCAATCTGGGCCATTATTCATGCATGGTATGGTGTTGTACTTAACAAGAGACTTGGGCTCCTAGCTTCTATTTATCTATTTTACACCCAATTTTAGGCGCATTTTTTTTCTCCATCCCTTCCATATTTCATATCACAATATCTTTTCTTGTCGATCGAAACATAATATAATTGATTCAGTCATATTTTAGAAAAATGAAGTCACTTGTAACATCTATTGGAACTAAAAAAAACTTTATCTTTTCCTCGTTTCATTATTTTAATTTAAACTATATATATTTATAGTCCCAATGTCCTATTCTTTAACAATGATATAACATCTCATTTCTACATAGATAAAACTTATAATATGAAAAACTAATTAAAAATTAGCCACATTTGGAAGATTGATACATCCAGGGGAGCACTTCAAACCCAATTCTCTCGATCCAATCCAATCCATATAATTTACCAAAAAGAAGAAAAAAGTATACAAATAAAAAAAAAAGAAAGAGAGACTGAGATGATGGAAACTGCACACCAAATCCACCTGCAGCATAATATATATATGTTGCTTCATTCAAAATATTAGCTGATTTCTTGTCTCAATCACCAACCAATCTCACCTATTTCCTTTCTCTCTTCCACTCTAAGCTAAGCTATGGCAATTTTGCAAAATCTGATTGAATTCCACACCACACCCATCAATTTCTTCAATTTTCCACTCAAAACCCTTTAATTCCCATTTCCAAATCCAACTCCCATGCTATTTTCAGTTCCTCCAAACACCAAATTTCAGCAAAATGAGGCCTAAAACTCACCCTCCAATTCATCAACTTTTCAACCTCAAGACCCTCCTTTTGGCCTTGTTTCTTGCATTTCCCCTCATCTTTCTCTTCAAATCTCACTTCTTTGCAAACCCATCTCCAAAGTTTCAATCTTTTTCACCCAAAACCCTCAATTATTCCACCACAAGGAATTGCCCCCCAAATTCTTGCAACAAAATCCCACCTTCTTTAGCCCATGCACTCGTTCACTATTCTACTTCGTCTATCATTCCCCAACAAACCCTAAAGGAAATCTCCGTCACCGCTGGAGTTCTCGACGAGCGGTCACCGTGCAACTTCCTCGTCTTCGGCCTCGGTCACGATAGCCTCATGTGGGCCACCCTCAACCACGGCGGTCGGACCGTATTCCTCGAAGAAGACGATTCATGGATCCAACAGATACGACGCCGTTTTCCAATGCTCGAATCCTACCACGTCACTTACGACACCAAAGTCAACCAAGCCGACATCCTCATGGATGTCGGAAAGGGACCGGAGTGCACGGCGGTTGGCGACCCGAAGTACTCAATGTGCCAGCTGGCACTAAAGGGCCTGCCGGAGGAAGTGTACGAGGTGAAGTGGGACTTGATTATGGTGGACGCGCCGACGGGATATTACGACGACGCGCCGGGGAGGATGGCGGCGATTTACACGGCGGGGATGATGGCGAGGAATAGGGAGGAGGGGGGAATTACAGACGTTTTTGTTCATGATGTGAATAGAGAAGTGGAAGATAGGTTTTCCAAGGAGTTTTTGTGTAGGGGTTATATGAAGAATCAGGAAGGGAGGTTGAGGCATTTCAGAATTCCATCTCATAGGGATGATATGGACATACCCTTTTGTCCATTTTAATCGTGTTCCGAGAAATTATTTGAGAAATTGGAGCAGTGTGGTAAACTAGCAGAGAGATGTACGAGAGGATATTTCTAATCCCTATTCCATTTGATAATCACTTTGTTTTTCGATTTTTCTATTTTTAAAAATTAAGTTTGTAATTGAATCTAAGCCAAATTTTAAAATGTTAAAAATTAGCTTTCAAAAATTTATTTTTATCTTTCCAACTTCATAAGAATGTAAATATATTTTTAAGAAAAGTAAAATCATACTAAAAAAGTTGTGACACATAATTTTAAAGAGAGGAAAAAAAACAAAATAATTATAATTTTGAAGGAAAAACAACCACCATGGCAAGACCATGTAATTTCGAATGTTTTTATTTATCTAAAATATATTGATTATCTTTAATACTTGTAAAAAGAACATATTTCTTTGGCATCTACGCTTACCTCAAAAGAAATATTAACAAAACATTAATTTAATCAAAATGGATATGTAATCAAGTGAAACCATTTCGAGAGATAGATGCCATAGTCTTCGGATTCTAATAATAAAGAAGCATATCAATGAAGAGTGATATAAAGCTAGAAAAGATAACTTATTTAATTCAATATATATAAATACTATATTAAATACGATGTTAGTATAATATTTTAACCTGTTGAATTGTCAGGAAAGAAACATTAATTATTACTATCGATGAATAATGTTTCCAGTCCTCTTAAAAATAATGTCATTAGTTTAATTTAAAATATTAATATTTGTTGGAAACTATATAAACACAAAGTAAATGAAACCACAAGCATAAACATACATAGTTGAGTAATAATTGGTACATAACCCTTCTCTCAAAGTTAGAGGTTCAAAATCGAGAATCCTCAATGATATAAAGCTTATTTGATAATGTCCTCATTTCCAGTTTTATCCAAGCATTTAATAACTATATATGTTTATTATTTCTAAAAAAAAAAGTGATTTACCAAGAAAATCTACATATCTCCATCTTAGGTTTATTCTTTGTTTTTAACAATAATATGTACAAGGTAATGAGAGAGAGTTCTTATGAAATATAATAGGAACTTGACAATTTCAATTGACAACAAAACAATAATCAATTTGGAGAAATGCCCCTTTCTTTTAGACAAATGACAAGCAGCAGAGCCCAGACAAGCATGTACAGATTGCTCAACCTTGCAAGATTGTCATTTCTCTGTCATATCTAATAAAAATAATTTAAATCGTAAAAGTTGAGGCACCTGATTCTTACAACATGCTATATTACAATCTCAAATGTGCCGCAACCTTCACAAGAGATATATAATGCAGTTATGTCAAATCTATTCTCAACACAAAACATAGGCTTCAATCTGCAACCTCGATCGAGATGTTCAGCATGCACATCAGCCAACCGAGAACGGAGGAGGTCCATAGTTACCTGAAAGGGCCATAGATTGTTTAGCTGACAATAGTTACTTCGCTATCGATTGGCCATCCAAAGCATGTCAAGATATGTACATCTACACGGACAATGGTAACACCACAGTAGCAGAAGACAATCAAATAACTTGCTATAGATATTATTATTATTATTATTATTATTCTCATTTATTTTATTTTTTTGGGTGGGGGGAGGGGGAAGCAAGAAGGAAAGAGCAGATATCAGCTTGTATTTCTACCTCTTAAGCCCCTATCACCAGAACATATATCATACAAAACAATACTACTGGCCCATACACCAATCATTAGGCGCTCCTAACTTTTCAAATCTTTATTGGTCCATTTATTTGATAGATAAGTAAATCTAATAAAAATACGTCACATCAAAAAAAGTCAGTAAGAACTCCTAATTGCGTAGATAAGTATTTTCCAATCATAAATTAGAGGCGATGAAATTTTACGTAACATCTCCCATGGCCATGACAATAAACATTGGCACCAACTTCTCAAGTCAAAGTTGGCACTTCGCAGTGGTGTTCTCAATTCTTTCAAGAAGTAACAAATTAATAGGAAGAATAATCTGGCATTTTAAAAAGACAGCAACCACTAATTTCTAATTAGTAATATTCAGCCAACATAATAATAAATGTATTCTAGAAACCAGCTGATATCCTAATATGGACCTGGAAATAAATGGTGGGATTAAGAAGAGAATAATAGACTATGGTACCTAAAAGTCTTAATATCAAATTAGTGGGAAACCTCATTGGCTTTGCTAAGCTGAAGTCCACAGTGAGTGCAATGTATGGAGCGGTTGTTCTCTAGCAACTCTCCTTGTTTGCAAATAGGACACCAGAACTTCTCAAATACCTAGCAAGACAATCACAAAATTTTTAACAAAATTGTTTGCTTATGATTGTACTAAGAATGAATCCTGTAGATGACACATACGATTCTAAACTTTAGTTGTGCCTGTACAACCCTTGAGATAAGAACCAACCTTCTCACTGTTAAGTTGCATATGTTCGTAAACTGCACGCGCTAAGAACTCGTCTTCTTCATCCTCCCAAGTTACAATAGGGCCTTCTGATCCTGCAAGGAGCTGAGTAAACATCTTGCTCAAAAAATTGATTTCAACAACTTGAATAGACCCATGTATTAAAACGGAATCTTCTAGTTACATAAATATAATTGAAGGAAAATATGACAAAAATAAGATTAGTTCAATTATTATTTGACTACTTGCTACATGAACTTTACTTTCAAAAATCAAGCCCAGTTAATAAATATCATAAAACATAATAATGATCAATCAGAGTTTCCCTGAAGCATAACAAATCATTTATTCCTCATAAAACATATAATGATCATTGATCAATCAGAGTTTCCCTGAAGCATAACAAATCATTTATTCCTAATTGCTTTTACATTTTTCACCAGTTATGATAGGATGAAGAAAGACTTATGTTTCAATTCAAAATCAGAAAATAGAGTAAAGTTTTGAGACATTCGGTGAAGACAGTCAACTTTGGAAAATAAAACTGCATTAGCAAAATCACCTTTTTGTCTCACATCCACGTCGAGATCCTCATAAAAAATCCTTTGCATCTCTAACAATATTTCTTCACCTTCACCTTCATAAGCATCCTGAATCCCCTCATATTCCCAAAGAACATCATCACACTCGGGGGCAGAGGGCAATTTGTTATCATAGTCATTCAAAGATTGGTCTTTAATCTTTTTCAGCTCATCAGAAAAGATGTCTTGAAAAGCAGATTTGACAAAATCCTACAACCAAAAAATCCCAAAGAGAAAAAGATATGAATTACATAACTTAAGCAGGATGAGGTATCCGATACTGAATAGTGAAGACAGACCCATCAAAACGTATATACATCGAAGAAAAAGAAGACTGAAACACAAATGAGAGGTGTAATCAAACTCTAGTAGTAAGGAATGCAAAAAATGAAGAGCAACATATAATATTTACATCATTCTTCGCAACACCCAACAACTAATTGTCAAAATCCATCGCAATGACAAAACAAAAAATATTCTAAATATAAGAAAAATATCCAAAAATTGACCTGCTGTCGATTATTGAGAGAGTGGGGATAAGTGGGCGAGGACACAGGCAACCTCATCTTCCAGAGCAAGCGGCTTCTTCCTTCTCTGACTCTCTTGTAACAGTTCTCCCTCAGCTATGGGACAGTAAAAGTTTCAATTTCTAATAAATTGCTATTATTGTTATTGTTCAGATCAAAACCCGCCAAAAACAGAAAACGAGGGTAATCGAGGAGACGAGAAAATTCACCTTCTGCTTCCATGACTGATAATTGTTGTAACGAGGATGGGTTTTAAGGGAAGGACGGCGGATTTGTGTGGTGGAATTCGGATCTTCCTCCTCCATTTTGACTACTTTCTTATGAACTGCGATCTCCAAATTTGCCCTCGACTCGCCAATCGTCTTCATGTCGAAGCGGTGACATTCGACATTTAATTTTTGGCCGCGGTTTTTGAATACACGACGGACAACGAATCGAACGAAGCTGCTATAGAATTGGGCTCCATATGAACGGGCCCAACTCGACATGGGCTCTTCGACTTGAATTTGGGCTACTTGTGGAGGGCCCCAACTCAACTCTTTAGTATGTTGAACCGAAGTATATCACATTGTAGAAGTAATTAAATAAATAAGATCCGTTTCATAACTATTTTATTTTTTAAATTTTAGCTTATAAATACTACTTTTACTAAATGTGTTTCTTTGTTTGGTGATCTATTCATTAAAAATATTTTTCAAAATATAAGTCAAAATTTAAAAACTAAAAAAATAGTTTTTTAAATAAAAACGTACATGACCTACTGAGAAAACAACCTTAAAATTGAACTTTAAAAAAATTAAAAATTTGAGTTGGTGTGAGGAATCAAATAATTCGTCTCTCGCTTGACAAATCGGTACGAGGTCTACTTCATTTTTCAGCAATAATGAATCTAATCGGTACGAGGTCTACTTCATTTTTCAGCAATAATGAATCTGTTTCGAGGCACATTTGACAACCTTCGATTTAGCCATTGCTTTCATTTGCTTAATGTTAATAAATATTATCACTCTTAGCTAATTCTCAATTTAGTCTTAATTCGGTTAATTCTTAAATCTATCTTTTGAGGTATTAAAATTTTACAATTAGGTATTACGTGAAAAGAAAATTGTAAAAATTTGTTAACATATAATTAATGTATTGTTTTATTAAATTATTTAGATATGAGACTTTAATGATATTTGACACCTGAAATTCAACTCATCTATTAGCAAAATTCAGATTTTTTTTTTTTATATCCATATGTCCAGGCCAGCTTGTATGCACCTCGACTATTAATTCATCTATTTCTAGTGGTATGTCAACCGAACAATAATTTAAAGACAAAATAATACAGGACACTACTGGAAATATTTTGAAAAAATTCAATTCAATCACCTGAATTTTACTGAAAATATTTTCACCTCTCCAAAACCCTGCGTATGCAAAACGTAGAGCAAATGTCACTCAACAGGACGAGAAGGGCTGCCTGGTCCAAATAGAGTATTCTCTTGCATTACATTCAGCTCATGAAATTTAATGCTCACAAAACCTCAATTTAACGAAACTTAAAATATCAGAATTCACGGAAGCTACAACCATAGAAAACCAGGAGCTTGAATTGAACTCGTCGAAAGAAGTGAAGATGAGTTTAATTAGTTTAGAAATCATGCTGGTAGGTGAATGACACAACGTAAACACTTCCCTTCCTTCATGAGACTGAATGCTTGGTTGATATCTTCAAAGAAGTGAAGATGAGTTTAATTAGTTTAGAAATCATGCTGGTAGGTGAATGACACAACGTAAACACTTCCCTTCCTTCATGAGACTGAATGCTTGGTTGATATCTTCAAAGGATATGTTATGTGTGATGTACTCGTCGATTTGAATTTCCTGCAAATGAGATTTAGTCAAGACTCAGCATCTGTATGAAATTCATATGGAATGCGGTGAAATAATGTGCATAGTCTTTTTTATATATATATAATTAGGAGTCGAAGCTTTCCTTCCCTATACCCAAGGCACCCACGCCCACTCCAAGGCTTGGACTTAGGAGACATCAAGAGTTTTTGTTCTTAAGCTCACCAGAAGGGTCAAACTTGAAACCTTTAAGTCCGTATGAACAAGAGACTCCAAGTCTTTGCCAACTATATGCTTGCAATTTAAGAGGGGGGAGTGCCAAAGCAACATAAAGCTTTTTTTACCTTCTTGGTATACATGTCTACTAATGAGGGGAGGTCAGATTTTGGTCTCCATCCGCCGAAAAGGGATCCTTTCAATGTTCTTCCACTAAGAAATAGTCCGTAGTGGGCTGTTAGTTCCGGATTCACTTTTGGAACACCTAGTGTAACAGTCAGACCCCAACCCTAAGGCAAAATGGTGAAAAGAAATTAACCAGTTTCATGGAAGAAACTTCACCAAATAATTTGATAAGCCAGGACGTTAGAAAAGACTTACTTGGCAACATGACTGCAAGGCAGTAGTTAACATTCTTGTGTCACCTATGCATTCAAATACATAATCAGCCCCTCCATCAGTGATTCTATTAATGACCTGAGACAAATAAACGAAGATAAGATGAAATTCAAAAGAAACCCATTTTGGTTTTTTGTTTTATTATTGATAAAGGGGGAAAAGTATGACTAGGAATGTTGCAAACGAATTAAGTGGTGTAGGTAGCACATGAACATACAAACTGAGAGATATAGCAGGATGTGAGACCTATAAGCGTTACTGTATCTAACCTCTAAAGGAAGAGGAACAAGCATAGAGAGATGAGAGAGAGAGAGAGACATACTTTAGACGTGGCTGGGTTGTAGAAAGAATAGTAGTACCTGATGAATAGATTCATTGCATTCGCTTGGGTTAACAAAATGAGTAACCCCAAAAGTTTTAGCTGTGAAAAAAAGGCACGTCCTTTGTTAACACAATCTTTATAATTAAACAAAATTTCACAGTTCCCAAAGAAAAATGAAGTACCTATGTCGACCTTTTCGGGATTAATATCAACACCAATTATTTGCGATGCACCCCTAATTTTGGCACCTTGTGCAACCTTTTTGATAAAACAGAACACAAGGTCAATCAAATCACGTCCAAAATTGTCAAGAGACATGTTTGAGGTTACTACAGGTGTATCCACAAAACATAACACTTACAGATAGGCCTACGGTTCCAAGACCATATATCACCACAGTTGAACCTTCAGATATATCAGCAACATTCCAAGCGGCACCCAAACCTGACAACATTGACTCTTCTTCAGAAGAACTTAATCTAAAGGTCCCAACCATGCCATGAAAAAAATCTGTTTGCAAAAATTGTCACTTGGATTCAAGTAGAGACTCTTATGGTCTCATTTACACAAGCACGTGTTTTTGTTGCCATTTAGTAACCATTGAGTATTTCTTCTTGCCAGGAGCATGGACTTCATCAGAGATGAATCGGCAGGAGTCAAAATTATCACGTACTTCCACTGATCTAAATCTCTTCCATCTCACTTATGCAGTTAGAATTATGCATCGAATAAAGATTTACAATGAAAATTGAAGATTAAAGAATAATGGAAGAGTAAGACCAAAAATAGTCTGATTTATAGTGCCTACTGCTTAAAGTTCAACAAAAACCATATAATTATGCTATTGAAGTAGCCAATGATGAACATTACTGCCACTGATTACTATCAAGAATAAATTGCCTATGATAGATATGTAAGCTTCTGCACCAAAACTTTACCTACCTTCCAACTGTGTTGCTTTCCTATCTTGTCATATTTTTTTTTAATTCAAGATATACACATAGATCCAAATGACAAGATCTGATATGTATAACCCAAACCCTCCTGCCATCCCATTGAAAAAATCAAGCGAAGAAATCGACCAAGTACATAAGCATACCTGTAGCCACCCCACAACTCAGAAGACATATTTTCTCAAGAGGTACAGACAAGCTGAGTTTGACAGCACACCCTGAGTGCACCACAGTATATTCACTGAAACTGGAAACCGCGCAATAATGATAAACTGGCTTTCCTTTGACAGAGAAGCGGGTCTTCTGATCACTATGCATAACACCGCTCCTCTCTAGTCCCAGAACTTGGCACATGTTGCTTTTACCCGATGTGCACTGCCTACATGTCTTGCATTCTCCAGTGAATACTGTAAGCACATGGTCACCTTCCTTTAATTCAGTCACTCCAGGACCAACACTCTCAACAACACTGAAAAATAAAATGAAAGACGTCTATTTTTCAAAGAGGTGAAATTGAAATAGTGAAATTGAATAGATGCTTTATATTTCATATTATATGTAATTTTAAATTTGGTTTGTTGCTATATTAAATATAACTAAGAAGATGCTAATGTTTCAGACTACATGTAATTGTAAATTTGGAGTATTTCAATATTAAATATACTCCTTTTAAAAAAGTTATCTTCAAGGTTCTAATGCAGGACAGAATTTAAAATATAATGAATTAATAATTTGAAATCCTTAAAAATAACAAAGACGTCCTATTTGCCATAAAAATAGCATTTTCTTCTTCTTCTTCTTCTTCTTCTTCTTCTTCTAGTTTAAGGAACATCTTTTTGGGACAATGTCACAAGTAATAGTTTAAATAATCCATGCCAAAATCTTTTACAACTTTATTTTTTCTAGTTATTTGAATCCATGGATAGAAAATAGGAAGAATTTAACCACATAAAATTAGAAACTAAGAATTCTTCAGAAGTTACCCTGCTGCTTCATGGCCAAATATGCGAGGAAAAATAGCCTACACGAACAAGTCCTCATATTAGATATAAGCAGTATTTCCTTCTACTAGTATTAGTAATCTACTTTTATTTTTTTTATACGTGAGTATCCAAGCCAACTTATGCGTGTTTGGACCTTTCTAACGGCACAACTGTCTGACCCTACTATATTTAGTTGCTCTCACAGTAACTCGTAGTAGGTAGACAGCCACCATAGTTTGAATTCATTCTCTATAAGCTCTCTACCAATTCATTCTCTCTAATTTCTATGAAGTATGAAATGACCAGAGAAAAGTATATATCTTCCAGTTCCAATCTACATTCTCCACAGATTTCTTTGTACACTATAAAAGGTCATTCTCAAACGAGACTACTTTAAGGTTTGCGTGTATGTCCTGAGTTCAGTCTAAAGTTGAACAGTTAGATCTGGTTCTTCAGTATCTGAACTGGAAATAAAACCTCAGCTAGACTGGAAGTAAGAACCTGAAATTCCCAAGCAGTGACATCGCTGCGACATAAAGAAGTGCAGACAACTTTAATTCTGATCTCCATAGCTTGAGGAGGACTCACTTGCACCTCCTCAATCACCAATGGCTCTCCAGCTCCCCAAGCCACCGCAGCTTTAATCGCATTACACAAATAAGGCATAAGTAATTAACCGGCGGACCAACGCAGAAAATGGAAGCGGAAAAGCATCAATTCAAGTAAGAATTCCAGAAATATTACCTCTGCAAGTAAGAACTGACGACATCCTGCTGAGATTGAAGAAGAACGAAAATGCTATTTCGACGAAGCGACGGTGAGAAGGAGGAGATCTTGTTCTCCCGGAGAATAGCACGAATTGTATTGGCCCGCCATGAACAGGCGAAACAGCTAGTTTCAAACATTGGAGTTTGACGAATTGGTAGGTGCGGTTGGTGGAGATGGAGGGGGAATTGTTAATGTTTAGTGACGGCTCTCACCGTCACGTCCACTTTTTCTCTTTTTTTCTGTCCGTATAAAGGTTTGGACTCGACCCAAGGCGGAATAGTAAATTGGGCCGAGAGTGGTAGCGTGGAGGCCCAATTACACAAGCCCTATATAAGCCCACTTTTGACTGGGTCGGCAATTACACTTTGGGCCACTAGATAGACGGTTAATAAAGATATTATTTTAATTAAAAAATGGTCAATTTCAAAAAATAAAGCGTGCGTAAATTACAAAGTCATCCATTTAATTTCGTAACAATTTACCAAAACGAACATAGTTCATTGACATATATCTCAAATCAAAAGGTTGTGAATTCGATCTTACTTAATTTAAAATATAGGGTTCTCACCAAAAGGTTGTAAGTTCAATCCTCACCTCATATTTTGTAAAAAAAAACTCCAAATTTCAGTAAACACCTTATCACAATTTAGGGTTTCTTTTAATAAAAAAAATAAAATAAAGAAAGAGGCACTATTGTAACAAACAGTTCTAAGCACATTACTCAAGTAGTATACTTTGTAATATAAGATTTATTTTTTCTTTCAAAAAATAATATATGATTAAGTTTGCACAACTTAACCGACCTTTCATTGAAATATCTTGTTATAAATAATAATAATAAAAAGAGAGAGTCATATCACAGATCACAACAGTTGATCAGATTAACGTCACACCAATTTTATCTACGTAGATTGGTGGCTTTATTTTATTGTCGTATTAGATATGACATGAATATTAATACGTTTCATTGAACCAAAGAATAAGTAAATTTTGTGGGTTGAGAGAAAAAGAAAATGCAATTTGTAAAATTGTTGCGGCTGGATCTTGTCGGCTGTGTGGCGTTGGTACTTGGCCCAACTATTAATAAATTATAAATTATTATTAAGAGTTAAAATAACGACAAATCTTACGCAATTCAAACATCTAACATATCTCAATCTTGCATATCTAGATAGTGATAGTAATCTATAAAGATCTATATTATCAACATCTATTCTATAAAATTGTCATATTTACAAAATCTTACTATTGTACTATATTTGTACGTCTTATTATATCTTTGCGTATAAATTGTTATTCAGCTATATGCTATTATATAGGCAGTTTAGTTTATGTTAGCTTTACTTTGTAAGCTTGTAAATTTGTGACGGATCATATTTTATTATAAATCAGCGAAAAAGAGTTAATTCATAGGTGGTGAATTATTTCGTACCTATGACAATAACAATTCATTTGAATAATTCAGTTCGATTATTATTATGGAATTTGAACCAAGATTCTTTCAAAGCTTCATTTATTTTGTTTCTATCTATTTAGTTTCAATAACAACCTTTTAAAAATATTAGTCTAAAAAATCATATTAAACTAATTGAATACACATGTTAATTGTCGAGTCAATCGAAATTTCAAATAGAAAAGAAAGAAAGACGAGAACATAATAATCACAACAAATGAAGTATGCTATGAGAAACATGGGCAAAGACAAACGACAATAGCCACCATTCCCTTTCACGCGATGCTCAATTCATGGGATCAAAACGAAACATTGCCTTTATTTTGTGTTCCCTTCTCCTCCCATTACACGCCCACCAAGAATCTCACTATTTTCTCTTTTCTTTCTTTTTTCCTCTATCTTTTCAATATTAAATCTCTCAACCTGTTTTTTTTTTTTTTTATAAAATACTTTTTCGATATATTTAATCATTATAATAATTAAATTCGTTAAAAAAATACCACTAGGTGGCATCTCTTTACCTTTCACTCCTAAAAACCTCCTGAATACACTCCATTTTATATATAATATGAACTAAAAAAACTAATTTGTCCAAGGGAGTTTGCAATCAATGTTATAAAACAATTGAAACAGTTAACAAATATTCGTGATCATTACCCTTCAACAAACTAATTTTTTTACTGTATATTATCTATAATAAAAATAGAGTGCACTCAAAGGGGCTTTTATGAGTGAAATGATAAAAAATGACAATTTAACCCCTTATGTACTTTTTTGATGTCTTAATTTCATAGAAATAATAATAAAAATATTGATAAGCTATCGACATCAATAGATATTTTTAAAAAGTTACTACAGTCCATAAATTCATAGAGATATATAAATTAACAAATAAGTTGTCTACCATTTTTAAATAATTTAAATATTTTTATTATTAATATCATGTTGATATTGATTAATGATATGTTATTAGTACTTTTTTATATTTGGTCGATAAAAGCACTTTTTTTTTCGTGTATTTTTATAAGTAGAAAAGTGTTTAATTTAAGAGTATTATTTTTTAAGAGTATTTTAAAAGAAATCATTCTCGAAGATTGAAAACATATGGAAGTGCATTCTATATGTGTACAATTTTATATATATTTATAAATGTCTCTTGATTTTATATATTTTCAAGAATCGAAATTTTCTATCATTCTAGAATATTTTATTATTTATTCCATGATATCTACTTGCATCTTTTTGTCGCATCCCTATGCTACCTCAGAACCCTTCCTCTAAGGAAACTTATAGGGTAGGTAAACTTATAAGGTATATATATAATTACCTTATTAAAATTACCGTGTCATAAAGTTAAAGGAACAACGTGGGCCAAATTACTTGGGTCAAGATAATCTATTCATCATCTAAGCCAATTGGATCAAAGAGGGGTCTCGTGCTCGAGGCCGTACATTTTCATAATCTAATTATTTATTTGGTCCAATTTAACTTATTGTCCTGATTTAGGTATCAAGTGTGCATATTGGACTTAACAATGCACCAGAGTCTAGATCTAATTATGTAGGCAAGTGTTGGTTCGGAGCATTATTCGACATTGAAACTCGGATCCACAAAAAAATTTATTAAAGTAATAAGGTGAAGGAGAAAAACAAAAGTGGCCACATGTGGATCTTATGAATCTCCCTTTCAAAATTCCTTTCTTAGACATAAAAGGGACCACATTGAACCCCTTTATGGGAAAAACTTCTAATACACTTTTATAGTATGGAATGGACGCGGATGTTGCGAGTCCCACCTATTTTTTAATACCCTATTGATGTTGGTGTGGTAAAAAGCTAGTAACATTAGTTAGAATCATAATATCTTGTTTAGTTACCTTTTTTTTATTTATTTTTTAACACCTTGTTGATGTTGGTGTGGATGTTGCTACATTTGTAATGTTCTAGTTTCCTGTTTCTACGTTTCTATTTTTATTAAGAAATCTAAGCATTTGACAACTATTTATCTTTCTTGTTTTCATTTTTTTTAGGAACATTCTCAAAATTGTATATAAATTTTGGAAAACAATCAAAACAAGTTTCTTGTTTCTTGTTCTCATTTCCAATTATTTTTTCCAACATAAGCATAAATCTTGTTTTATCATTCTTGCATCCATGAGTGTGTTAGGTTTGTAAGGAGTAAATAAAGTCTCACATTGGTTAGGGGAATGAGTGATCCATGGTATATAAGGGAGGATAATTATCTCCATTGGTATAAGACCTTTTGGGTGTAACCAAAACCAAAAAGTCGTCAATATCATACCATTGTAGAGATACTCAGGGTACCATTGAGGAATCCTCGAGGAGAGGAAATTGAGAATGGTACTTTGTTCAAGTGAATGATTATACCTTTTGGGTGGAACCAAAAGTAAAGCCATGAAGGCTATGTCTAAAGATAGCCTTCAAAGCTACCATTGTCCTTGACAGAGTATTGATGTTCAAGAAACAAAAATAAGAAACGAAAACGTTATCAAAGACGCTTACTAATTGTTTTTGTTTCTCAAAATTTAACCTTAGTTATAGAAACTTAAAAAGAGAAAAATACTAATGGCTTACCAATCAACATTATTTTTATTCATCATCATTAAATTTTTATAACTTAAAGAAAAATTAGAAAATTGTGATCAACACACAAAAAAATGCACAAACCATGAACCGTCGAAGTTTAGACTTTAAATGACAAATATGGTGTTGGTGTCTTGCGCCCATATGGCCTCATAAATGACGATAACAACTTTTTGTTTTTTTTTTACACAAAAGTAGTATAGTCATGTGTCACATCAAAATGAAAAAAATAAAAAAAAAATAAATATGGTTGCAATTTTTGAAAAGAGAATGAATTTGTAAAAGCTTTTTGGATTTATCAAGTGTGTTGGGCGGTGGCTTTTTCAGTCTGTCCATTGGCTGGCAAAAAAAGGAAAAAAAAAAGGAATTTCCCCCCTTAGCTACTACTTACAAGTTAAAAAAAAAAAAAATAATGCTCAAAGTTCTCAAAATCAAGAACCCTCATAAAATATCTCTCAATTCCATACACAATTTTCCATAATTTCCGCCCTATATAAACATAGCCCCTCACCCACTTCCATTACATAATTATTGTTGTTTATTATTATTATTAATACAATGCAACTACTTCCATTGCCTTCCAAAAGAAGTAGGGAGTTGAATGGCAGCCAAGGATGACTTGCCGCCGCCGCCGCCTCGACGCTGCCGCCCGGCGCCGCGGCCAGTCATCTTTGGCTACCTTGGATTCTCTTCTTCTCCCGCAAGGCCCTGGAAGTGCAAACCCCAGTCGCCGCCGCACCAGGTCGGAACCCTTTTTCACTTTGCCTTTTTTTTTTTCTTTTGTTTGGAGATCATTTTATTGGTATGCGTTTAATAAATATATATATTTTACGTCATTTATTTTCTCTTCTTCTTGGTTTGGTTTGTGTCACATGCATGTCATTTTCAATGCCCTTCTTCCCTTTGGAGTTTTCGATGCGTTTTGATCCATACTTGATAAGGTCGTATGGGCCACTCCTTTAAATTTAGGTTAAATCATCTTTTTAAGGTTGTGTTTCTCTAATCTTTAAACTTTAGAACTTTTAATTTTGTATTTATTGTTTTTGGAGGGTTTATTTCCAGGTGAATTCTTGTATTTAGGGTTGGAAATTTTAAAGATTTTGTATTTATTATTTCATGTTCTTACTGAATTTCGGGGCCATATATAAGAAAGTGAAAGTATATATATTATGTTTTAAGGGAAAGAAATTACTGAATTTCTTCTCTCTGAAATTTTGATACCATATATAGTTTTATGTAGTTAGTGTGTTATTTATATATAAATTTCTTCTCTCTGAAATTTTGATAACATATATAGTTTTATGTGGTTAGTGTGCTATTTATTTATATATATATATATATATATATATATATATATATATTCATTCTAGTATCGGTACTTTGAATTTTTTTCTATATATTTTACATAAGTTTGTTTTAGTCCCTATATTTAACTTTTAGGATTACTAATTACAAATATACACCATTTAAACACTAACACAATCAATATATTTATTTCTTAAACTGTAGTCATAATTTTATATTAAATGATTTATGTTAAGTATAGAATTTGTATTAAAATTTTATAAACAAAAATCAAAATGATCTTATTTTAAAAGTAGAAGGATCAAAATAAAACAGTTTTGAAAGTACATGAACTAAAATGAACCAAATTTAGAAGTACATAATAAATATAAATATTTTGAAAGTAGAAGAACCAAGATAAACCAAAGTTTAGACAACATGATCAAAAAAGTATTTTAATCTTTTTCTTTATTATATTTACCCTCCTTCTTTAATCTTCCTAACTCTTTTGTTTTTAAGAAGTTATAAAAGGTAATATTTATTTATTTATTTTTATTTATATTTGTATTTATATTTAGTAGTTTATTAAGCTATATTTGTAGTTAGTACTCCTGATCCAGTTTATAATATAATTTATATTGTGGTTGAAATAATATATTTATTTATTTATTTATTTTATAAAAGGTAATTTTTGGTTGGATCAGGAAAGTTGGTAAGAAGGGCTTCAAAACATGAGCTGGGTTGAGAGAATTAGTCAAGCGTTTTGGGCTTGGGCTAAGTTTGGCCCAATCCACGTCTTATTCAAGATGATTTGGGCTTGGGCTAACGTTGGCCCATAACCTCATCTTTGTCAATTGTATGTATTCCTAACTCTTCTGTTTTTAAGAAGTTATTTATTTAACTACTTTTATATTCTTTCAAGATTATCCAACACAAGCTTCAATTCAAAACAATTGAAACCATATACTTTGATTATTTACCTAATGAATAGATGGCTGACCAATATTTTGCACAATTGAAATATTAAAATAAAATAAATACAAATTAAGGGACTAAAATAAAATATTTGAAGGGTTGTCGTAACAAAATAAATATAAAATTTGAGAATGGAAATAGGATCTGAAACCAAAACTTTACCATATCTTAAATAATATTAATAGCAAGCATATGTGTTTAACAACCGATCATTAAAAATAGTAGGAAAATAAAATGAAATTGACCCATAAATTTTGCCCAATTTTAAGCATGGCGCTACCCTACCCTACCCTACCCTACCCTACCCTACCCTACCCTACCCATAATTCTAAAATCCGATTATTATTAGTTATTACTATTTTAGAAGGAAAGATTTTGAGGTGATTTTCAAATCTTATTTAATAAAACTACGTAATAAAGTTATGCTAATTAATATTGAACAAAAAAACCAAAAAAAAAACCAGTGTTCCGACGACTAGAGAAGCACAACTTGAGTTACCTGTTCTATTTGACAATGTTTATTCCAATTAAATGTTTGATAAAACTTGTCAACCGCTTCATTTATAATTAGATTGGGCCAAAAAAAAAAAAGAATTGGTTTTAACCCTCCTTTCTTCTGGTTACTAATTCTTTAGAAATACAAGATAATTGTTATTGTGTCTAATTTTCTATTTTTAATAAATGTTATTCACATTTATTTTTTTAAAATTAATTTTTTAATTTCAAATATTAGAGAATGAAAAAAGCATACAATTTTTTATTTATTTATTTTTTTTAAATAAGAAGCAAGAAACAATTTTTTTAATGCAACAAATTGAAGGTACGAAGACGAATCTCACACCTCGAATGAAAAAGTAAACGTCAATTATCAGCGAACTATGCTCACGTTGACTAAAAAACAAGAAATAATCAGCAAACATAACTATGTTTCTATTCATTAAAAAAAAAAAATAAAAACAAACAAACAAAGATGTTACTAAATCGACTATTTATATCTCTAATTCCTCACTTTCAGCTCATCATTTAAAGTTTTCTACATAAATTTTCAAAAATAGAAATATTAAATGTATTTTCAAAATTGAACGGAAATTGTTTCTATTCAATTTTGCCTCTTTCTCTTGAATTGTAAACATGTAAATTTTTAAAATTAAGCAAGCAAGGTATAATAATTATGTAAAATAAACTTAAATATTTCAACACTTGGAAACTGTTTTGTTTTCATAACAACGTTTACTATAAAACTTTACAATAAAGTCAACATTATGACTAAAAAATATAATGTAGAGCACTCTTTGAGGTATTTGTGTGGTATAAAGTCCTTTTCATAAAGTCTCTGCATGCAAAATTTCAACGAGATGTACGTTTTTCCTAAATATTGTGCCCTTCAACGCCTCCAAAACTCCAACCTTAACCTTTTACATATATATTAGCTATGCATCAAACGCCACGTTTCACATAAAATAATATAACATTATTCGTTTATACTGCTACGTTTTATTTTACATCTTAGTTTCTCTAAAAATAATTAAATTTATATGATTCCATGTATTTCTATTTTTTCTTTAAAATAATATCTCAGTATATATAAATTAGATGGCTTCGTTTGATTTATCTAGAAGCACCACAAATTTCTTTTTATCCAACAGAAATAAAAATAACACACCATCCTTCAAGTTTTCATTTTTGAATTTTAACAATAATATCGGATTAAATCGTATTTAATTTTAAATTACAGGTTAATTCGTTACTTTTAATAGTTTCTACTAAATCGTTACTCCAATGGAAACAGAGACTAAATATATTTTTTAATTGAAATTAAAATTTAGAAAGAAAAAAGCATAATAAATTAAGATTGGCATTTTGAAACGGCTCCAAAAACCAACACGATCCTGCCTATAGCTTATCTTAAAAGCCAAAAATCTTGCAGTCGGTGACAAAAAAAAATGTTCAATAGATATGATTCCATGAACCTTCTGTTTTCTTCCTAATTTATTATTCCCTTACTTTAAGGTAATTAAAACTCTAATTCGTTACCCCAAATTCATATTAGTGTATAGCTTTTATTTAATGTCGATTAGATTTATAAGAATTCAGGTTGACTAATTCAAATGATTTTTGTTTTATTGATTAATTGGTATTTATAAATAAGGAATAGTAAGAATTAATTCCGGCCAGGGGGCGGCTGGCCCAGCTTTGACCTTCGGTGGATTAATAAACAACTATTTATGCACATAATCAATGTTTTGTAAATTGAAATTTTGTTTTCAGAGACTAACCCAATTAATTAATTTTAATTTTTCGTTAAACTAGTGCAAAAAGTAAAATATTAAAATAATGTGTTGGTAATGTGAGAAATCAAGTTTTTTTTTTAGTTCAATAAATCAAGAATGAGAGTTGTTATTTTATGTACTGAATGAATGTTTGGATTGACTGAAAAGTCATAGCAATGAATTAGTGAACTAGACACCATTTTACTCTTAGATTAAAACCACGCTCATGGTGTTAGATTAATCCCAAAGTAAAAATATCAAGTCATAAAACTAACTATCCAAACCTTAACTATTATACATGATAATATTCAAAATTGGATGATTAAAAAGAAATTAAATTAAAAAGAAAATCTAAATTTACCCAAAATTGCTATCTAACCCAATTTTATATATAGTGGTGAGATATGTGAAATTTATCATTTTAAACAATTTTGTCAAATACAAATCTCTCGTTCAATTCCTCTAACTCTATTCTTCTTTTTAAATACTATCTATATCAATCTTTACGAATTTCTCTCTCTCTTTAATTTTCTTTCGCTTTCTAAATACTACCACCTTTACAAGTACCAAATAAACTTAAATAAATGATCATTTGAGTAAGCAATTTGAATTAGTTGAGAAAAAAAAAAGAGTCTAAGAACGAATGAAAAAGAAAAATAATAGAAAAATTAAATAAATTTTAGAGAGAGGGAGAGAAGTATTTGAGAAAAATGAAATTAAAAAAAATAGATAACAAAATATTTAGAAATCAAGAGGGGCGACATGGAGAGGGAATTTAATAGGTAAAATATAGGGATAAAACTTTTTGAAAATATTACCATCATTGACCAACCAGTGCTAAATATGAAGAAAATGAATAAAGGAAAATAAATACCTCTAATGAGATGAACTATTTCTTAAAGGATAAAATCAAAATTACCAAAAGTAGGCAAAAAGAAAGGTCTTGTTAGTTGTAATCCAACACCCATTTGGCTAAATTTGTTCATAGATTATCTTAAAACAGAAAGTCAACAAAGAGGGAGAAATTCAGATTTAAGAAAGAAGAAGGAAAAAAAAAGTGGGTTAAATCCGGAAGTTGCATTTGCATATAATTAATTAATTAATTAAAATTAAAAAAATCTAAATACAGAAACAAGACGGCTGAAAAACGGTGTGCCAAGAACCAAACCAGAGGGTTTTGAGTTTGACGAAGGTTTCGGTTAGAAAAACGTTTGAAAAAATGCGTGGTCGGCAATTTATTATTATTTTTTTCTTCCAAGTCAAATCAACCAACCCATTTCATTTTTATAATAAAAATGGCAGTTTTTATCAGTTATTTATTATTATTATTATTATTTATTTGTTTGTTTGCCTATAAAAGGACTGTTTCAGTGTCATCTTCTCCACAAACCAACCAAAACCCAATATTTGAAATAATCCAACAAAAATTCCCTTTAATTCTCAGACCTTATTTTTTTCTCCAACAATGGCGGAATTTCAGCTCCCATTGGTGAAGTTTTCAGAGGAGAATTTGAGGAGTTGGGTTTCGACGAGGGAGAAAGTTCGAGAAGCACTGGAAGAATATGGGTGTTTTGTAGCTCTATACGACAGCGTTTCAATGGAGCTGAGCTCCAATATGTTCGATTCTTTGAAAGAGCTTTTTGAAGTTCCATTGGAGAGGAAGCTTAAGAATGTGTCTGAAAAGCCCTACCATGGCTACTTTGGCCAAAACCCATTAATGCCCATCCATGAAAGTATGGGAATTGAAGACCCAAATCTCCTCTCCAAAACTCAATCCTTCACCAACCTCATGTGGCCCTCCAATGGAAACAAATCTTTCTGGTAATTTCCCGGCCCCTATCTCGCGTTTCATTGTGTTAAATTATAAGTTTAGTACAGTATACTTTACAAAAATTTATTCTTTTTAATTTTGTGTTTAATAAGTCGTCATTGTTGTTAACTCTCGCAGTGAAAATGTGAACTCGTATGCGAGGGCGATAGCGGAGTTGGATGAGACGGTGAAAAAGATGGTGTTTGAGAGCTATGGGGTGAGAAAACACTTGGAATCTCACATGAAATCCACAAGATATCTTCTGAGAATGATCAAATATAGAGTTCCCAAACAAAATGAGATGAATATGGGAGCCTTCCCTCACACAGACAAGAGCTTCCTCACCATTCTTCACCAAAATCAAGTCAATGGCTTGCAAATCAAAACCAAACATAATAAGTGGCTCCAATACCACCCTTCTTCTTCTTCGTCGTCAACCTCGTCTTTTATCGTCATGGCTGGAGATGCATTCTTCGTAAGTTCGTTAATCTTCAAATTTTCTTTTAGAATATGGCATGATTTCTATGTTTGATAAAATTAAATTTACTATTATCCTCCATCTAAAAGTTTTGAGTTTTTGTTTGGTCTTAGGCTTGGAGCAATGGGAGGATTTACTCGCCACCTCATAAGGTGATAATGAGTGGTAAGAGGGAAAGATATTCAGTGGGATTGTTTTCGTTTAACGATGGGATTGTTCAGATTCCTAAAGAATTAGTGGATGAGAATCATCCACAGCAGTTTAAGCCGTTTGATCATCAAGATTATCTTCGTTTCTACAGCACTGAAAGAGGCCAAAACTCCCCTTGCGCTATCAAAGCTTATTGTGGCATTGGAAACGGGCTCGTCGATACTCGGGGTTGCATTCTCCTACATTAATTAACCGACATATATTTAACGATCTCGTCTTGTGTAAAAGAGTTTCTAGTAAAAAAGTTATTAGAAGTGATCGGCTTTTCTCACTTCTATGATGTTAGTCGCATCTTAGATTAAAAGGCTTTTAAAAATGCCCATTTTGGATTTTTTCTTCTTTATTAGTTCTTTTTTTCTTTTGAAGTGTATAAAAATTGTGAAAATGTATCGAGTTGAATTATTGTGTAAAGTATTTTACAATAAATTGTGTTTGTTCTAAAAATTTATAATTTTCTGTTCAATTGATTTTCAACGTTCAAAAATCAAAATGAAATTAACTTAAAAAAAAAATATTGCAGTCGATTTGAATCCTCATGTTTGAATTTTAATACTAGAAAAATGGTAAATTTTGTTGTATTAAATTTGATGATACAACTTGAATAGAACTACATGGTTTGATTTTGTAAGATCAATGGCAATTAATTAAATGATTAAATTTCTTTGTGTTATCTCTAAAATTTTGGAACTCTTTTTTTGTTCTGAGATAAATAAATCAGTATGTATATTCCGAACTTTAAAACAAGAAATTTATTATTTTTTTAAGTTAAACATGTGAAGTTGGAATCGAACTCACCAACTCTTGGTTAGGGATATATGTTAACTAACCGTTGAACTATGCACAAGAATTTTACGATGATCTCTCAAAAGAAGGGAGACCATATAATATTTTCATTCCTCTTCTTTTAACGTTGATTCTTATATTTTGATTTGTCGTCTCACCATTTTTATTTTTTTTCTAGTGGCTTCATAGTTCATACTAATTTAAATTTAATTTTTCTTTCAAAAATATGATTAATTACAAATGTGGATAGTGGAAATTCCTATTTATATAATAGAGGTTATTAATATTCTAACAAAAATTGATAATTTAAATAATTTAATATAAGTGAGTATTACAACATAAATTGTAGATACAACAAATATAAATATACATTTGCGCTGACAATTTTTATTACTTAAATAATACAAAACTTATTGTGTAATTTTGTCCACAGAGAGAAAGAATAACACGTGTCTTGGAATTTGGAAGTCAATATTTAATCGAATAATATATAACAATTATTGGTTTGTCACGTAGTAGAAGTAGAATTACTATTCGAGTATTGTTTTGGTTTAATGTCCTTTTCATACAAAGTCAATTATCATCTAAGCTCTATAAATAAAATAAAAAGTCAATTATCATTTATTTTAAAATAAAAAAAAGTCTTCCAAATTTATTTCAATCATCTTCTTTCCATCCTATAATATCAAAATTGCTTTTGAGTATAGGTTAAGTGTCAACCATGTATTATAATCAATTTGAAGAAAATAAAAAGTTTGGAGTTGATGCATAAAAGTTACATGAGCTTTACAGATATAGGTTACATGTTAATAAAATTTAAAAAAAAAAACTTAAAAAATCAAATTTATTCTAAAAATACAATTATTTGAACTTTTATATTTTTGTGATTTTTTTTATGATATATTAAAGGCCACATTATATGCTTGATTAATTGGGGGCGCTTGCAAAGGTAATAAAAAGAAAATTAATTGGATCTCGTAGAAGTAGTCCTTACTTTTCAATTTTTCAAAAAATAATACTACTAATAATAAAAAGTAAATAAATGGAAGCCTAATCGACGTAGAAGAAAGTAGATGTCCAATATGCCTTTAATGAACACGAAGCCCAAACAACTATATGATTAATATATCAATGATATATCTAATATATATATGATTGCATATATAATTGAGAAATCTAAAATATATCAAGGTAAAATAAAAAATCAGATTTCAAATATTTTATCATATTTACAAAATTCAAAAATTATTTTACAAATGTGGCAAATATCTTAGGGCATGTTTTGCTTGCAATTAAGATTTGTTTATAAAAGCTCTTTTAAGATATTATGATCCAAATGGTGAAAATTTTAAAAACAATTTACAGTATTTTTAGATTTGAAATTTGAAATTTGAAATTTTAATATGTAGAATTACATAACAAAAATGTTAATAAATTAATTATAATATTTCAGATAAAACTAAATATTTAATTGGTAAACTACTAATTTAAAAATATACAATTTTTTAAATTGAAATTCAATTAACGAATATTGCAAACAACACTTCTTAATATACTAAAAACAAAGAATACAACGGGATTTTTGATAGATATTGTTTTCAGATTTCTATTCTTTGGTTGATAACCACTCTTAACTTACTCATTACAAATCTCTAATTGAGACTAAAACTGCACTAGACTAAAACTGGCCAACTCTTGTCATATTAACATCATAACCAACTTGATACCGTTAACTGCAACGCCTTTTACCTCCTACTAGTTCTCGTCGTACGGTTGGCAACGTAACTCCTCAAGGAAGGGGACTGAGTGAGACCATCCGGGGCGACTGTTGTGTTTACGACTCCGTTTTTCTGCTGCATTCTTCTCCTTGCGATGTATCCTCTTATCCAGGGAGTCACGTCTTCGTTGATCTTGATCGTGATGACGAAGATGATGCGGTAGATTACTATCATGCTGAAAAGGACACTGAGGTTCACCCATTTCGATCGGTTCAAGTCGATCTGAAACACCACTCGTAGGATGTACTCGCCCGGTAACTTTGGAAGATCTGGCGTCTGGTTATCAAACAGCAGTCCTAGTAGATCGTTCTGGTACTGACCCTGAAAATGCAGTATGTTTTTATCAAATGATGAAGCCTTCTAAACAACAGACCATTGGTCAATAATGTGTTCATTGTTCTACCTGCAAAGCCCAGAAATGGAAGCTGATATATGACATCGGATACCGCCAGAATGGCTTCGGAATGTCGTTCGGTAGCCTAAAGTATCCAGAAACCAGCATGAAAATACCCTGCCACCATAGAAAATAAAACATAAGAATAAGAAATGAAATGATTACACAACACAAAAGCTTTCTATTTGTGTTTGATAAACGATTGAACCGAAGCAACTCGTACTCCAGAAGAACGAATCGAAGCATGCTTATATCAATTGCACGAGAAGATACAAACCTGAATTCCAGCACCAATGATAATGCCCATAAGGAAGTTGGGGACAACACTGGCAATTGCCATCATCAAGCTCTCAACTACAGTGACACTCGCGTAAAGGCACAGCACGAAGAACAGATAATGCTCAAAGCCGGGATGGAGGCGAACCATGAAGTAACATATAGTTCCAGAAAGGAAGGTGATGAGAATAAGATACGGCATCGCTGAGATTGTGTTACTGATGACAAACGAACCAACTCCATAATGACCATTCAATCTCTCCCTATGGAAAACCTGGCAAAACACATTCATGCCAAAATTTCAATCGTTCTCGCTCAACCGAGAATGCTGCAGAATTTTTAGAGCATTTAACGACGATATTTACCTTCATATCCTCTGCAAATGAAGGAAATCCTCCAATCGACATGAATGTAACAAAACCAAAGACGAAAGACGCACAAGATCCCCTTGCCTACAACATATATCAGATCAAACAACACGAACTTGTTAAGAGTATTAAACAATGAACTTGGATTTATTATTAGTTTTCATGGTCGTCAGTTACAAAAGCACTTGCTTCGGATACTATTTCCAAACTAATTTACTAAACCTTATTTATCCTACAAAAATCGCGGGTTTGTGAATACTCTTCAAATGGACAATAAACTAATCTTAATTCTCAATTGCTCTCCTACCAGTCATCTAAAAGATCATACTTTATGTTACAGGAAATTCCTAGTTCCTAATGGCAACTTCTCAGCAGACATAGAATGATAAGGCTAGTAAAAGAAAAGGAGACATCAAAGAGTAAACAAAAATCACATACCAGAATGGAGTTATAGCCTGTCCCAACATTGAGATAGATGGTTCCGATGCAGATCGTTACTACAACATAAATTACAAGCCTGAGCCAGTAATATCCGAAGTCCCTCGACATGTTGACAAAGGAACGCTTAGTTAATGTAAAGGCCTGCATAAAGAAACTAGCTTCACTCCCTCCCGAATCTAACACGGTTCCTTTCTGCAAGATGTTTGAATTTTTCAGAAATATTTTAACCAAGCAAAATCAGGTATGAAACAGGAGTAATAGACACGGGATCTCGGCAGAAGACTTACAAATTTTGATATCTCCTCAACTTTTTCTCTTGCTGCATAGCAGTGTTGTGATGAACGATAGAAGTCGATAAGAGTTCGAATTGCTTCCGCTGTGCTGATCCTCTCCAAAGGGTCATCACTAGATTCAAACTGAATAAAGTAAACAGCAAAGAAACTATCAGCATTTAGCAGAAGGAAAATGATCTATGTAAAATGTATAGGGGACTAAATTGTCATTGGCCACCAAGCTTCACAATCAAGCAACAACTAGTAGTAACATGCAACCATGCAGTTTATTTTTGGTTTAGAATTTAAATCCTCTCAGAAATTTAACGTTTACTCAATATTGTTGTTTAATCCTAAAACTCCGCATAAAAATGTTATTTTCTGTAAACATTATGTAATAGAAAAACCTAACATAAAACACATCTTTAAGTGCTTAAAATCAAATCCGATCTTTTTTTTTTTGGTTAAATAATAAATAGAAAATTAATGATAAGGATTAAAATGCATTCCATGCGAAGTTTAAGGACAAAAAAGAGAACAGTTAAGAGTTGACTAAAATAGAATATTAGAAAATTTAGACACCAATGCGAAATAATTATGAAAGATTTGGGGCGGAAGTAAAAGATTAAAACCATAATTTTTGTCACTGTCACCTTTTAATTGAAATATCTTTTGTGTTCTTTTACCCGTAATTCTAAAAAGGATATTTTTCCATCACAGACAAACCTACAGAACCTTCGTTAAAAAACCAGAAAAGACAAAAAAGAAAAAAATTATACCCTTAGTTTCATAGAACCTTTGAGTGTGGCCTTGACTTTATCAAAGTCTGAATTGATGCATCTAAGAAAATGGTCGGAAGGGTTCCTCAAAGCAGGGCAGGGAAAGCCAGCTTGAGCAAAGAACTGCAGAGATCAACCATTCAAGATTAGAATCCTCCAACAATGGAGAAATTGCCTCAACTCTGTAACTTAAACACTAAAATGGAAGAATTCTTACCTCATAAGCCTCTGAAGCTTGACCGAAATACACAGTTTTCCCTCCCGAAAGCAAGTAAAGTTGATCAAACAGTTCAAAAACTTCACTGCTCGGCTGATGAATAGAAGCGATGACCGTTCTTCCATCCCTCGATAGAGCTCGCAGCGTTTGAGTCACGAAGAACGCGGAAGCACTGCCGGAATCGCAGAACGACGTTATCGATTAAGCAATTCACTGAAAAAGCCGAATCGAAAAATAAATTTCTAGGGTTAAGGTTCCGACCTGTCGAGTCCGCTGGTGGGTTCATCGAGGAAGAGCAATCGAGGTCTCATCAGAATCTCAATGGCGATACTGACCCGCCGCTTCTCGCCACCGCTGATTCCGCGCAGATGCCAGTTCCCGATGACCGTATCTGCGCAATCTTGCAGGCCCATCTCGATAATGGTGCTCTCGATCAAAGCGCGTTTCTCCGACCATCGCATCTTATCGGGGAGACGAAGCCTCGCCGAGTAGGCTACCGTCTCCCGCACCGTCAATGTCCCGATTAAATTGTCGTCTTGCGTCACGTACGCCTAAAATACGACGAAAACGAAATCACACTGCAAATAAGATTTTCTGTTTGTTTCCCGAGAAAAACCAAATCCCACATAATTGTTACTCAACATTACACTAATCAAAGTCAGTACTAAAAACAGAGAGATTATGAGAACGGACCGCAGCGCCGAAGGAGAGCTTAGTTTTGCGGCCATTGAGGAGAATGGTACCGGAGAGGAAGGCATTAGCGGCCAGGCGGCTGGAGAGAGCGTCGAGGAGCGTGGATTTGCCGGAACCAGAAGGCCCCATTAGAGCAGTGAAAGTTCCAGGCTCAGCATAACCAGTCAATTTCTCCAAAACATTCTGAACTTCTCCGTTGCTCAAACTCACCATCACCGTCAGATCCTTCCAAGTCAGCCTCGCCGATACATCCCTAACGATCTCCGTTTTCGCCTTCTCCCGCCATAGCGTCTCGCTCAAAGGACTCAACCCCACTCCTCCAGCCGCCGCCTTGCTCGCCTCGATCTCCATCGCCGCCGCCCTCTGTTTTCCCGGCCAACAAGTATGTATAAATATCAATACGGAAGAAATGGGAAGTGCGTGAGTTGGACTGAGAAGATTCGGGGGAGAAGAAAAAGCGGCGAAAACATGCGGATTGAGCCTTGGAAAGAATCTGAAGCTCGCGAATCGTATGATGGGTGGAAATTTCGGGGGATGAGATTTGAGGGTGAAGGAGGCGTAATTAATGGGAACTGGTAGATGTTGGTGGGGGCATTGATTGCCAACCCCGACAGCTTTCTCCTACCTTCCATGGCGGAACAGTGACATTTTTCTAATTCTTAATATAACCCAACTCAACTTTTCTCTCGTACATCTTATGCAAATTTTTCTCGAGACAATCAGAAATTGAAGAGTCAGCCGCCATTTAATTGGAGTTGGTTTCGTTGCAGAAGGAGGAGATGATGGGTATCGCAGTCCACAACTAACTATTAATTCATCGCCGCTGTGCATTAAAATTCAAACCCTTACCCCACCAATCACACTTTCCTTTTATACATAAATATACTCTCAAACTTTATCCTAACTTATAACTCCACCTTATACCAATTTTACATTATGAAATGCAATATGCATGCCGACTATTGAGAATTTTATTAATAATTGGACTTTTTTTTTAATGACCCAATATCGATGCACTCGTCCCCCAATATGGAGAGGGGACGAAACTCCCGCAGGGCTTGAACATGGGAGGTTTACTTATAAGTTATAACCTACCCCTAACGTTATTAGGGATTAGGGATTAATTTGAAGTTTTAAACTATATAAATGATAAATATAATTTTAATTTTAGAATTAATCTCTATCCACATATACTTGCATAATTAGATAACTAAATTTTCGCACTTTATATTTCGTGTATTAAAAAAAATAAACAGATGATGTGGGTTAAATTTAATAATTAGAAGAGTTTTTTTTTTTATGAGTAAGAGTGAATAATTAATAGATAGTAAACCATTAATATAGATATAGCTCAACTATTCATCCATAGACTATAAATCATGGATTTAAATTTTCTATCTTAGAACCATACTTGATGAACAAAATACTTAATTTTCATTTTCTAATATTCATCCTTAAAGATGGTCATTGAATGTTCATAATTAAATTCAAACCATCAAGTTTAAAGAAAAATGAGATAAATTATAAACATATTCGAATTATTTAATTATTTTTACTTCTCTGATAACCCTTACTTTTTTATTAACATTTTTTTTAATCTAATAGCTTTCCAACTACTTTTTTAAAATTCAATTTTTAAAAAGTATGAATGGATGTGGCCTTTAATAACAATAAATGAAACTTGAGCTGACTCAGATTAGAGTTCATCATTAATTTGTTTTATCATTTTGCCCAAATTATCTTAAATGCTTTATGATAAATTTTATCATGATTAAACTGTTATGAACGCAAATTTGGTAACGGGTTAAAATTTAAATTCTCACCTCATTTGTTGAACTTAAAAAATAAAAATGTCGTTCGGAGCACTTGAATACTTAATTAGTTGTGATAGTTGTTGTTCCTTTCTATGTGGTATGTTTTTTCACCAATATTGTTACCCAAACTAACAAAATATAAAAACTAAGTTTTTAAAAACATTATTGCGGCCTAAGTAAATAAAATTGAGGTTACATCCAAAGAGGCATAAATAAAGAACTATCGATATTACTTTTTTTTATAATATAACTAGTGCGAGGGCGAAATTTTGAATATAACATTACAAATGTGGAATGATGAAAATTTAAATGGTAAGACAAGTTACTAATACCTTAATCAATTACCTTTTTTAAAAAGTCTTAAATCAATTAAGTTTTTCTAGCTCGGCAGCCAACCAATATACCATATCAATAGGGAAACTAATCATTGTTAGCGTATGCTTAGGAATTCTTTTCATAAACAATTTTTTTCTCTGTGTGTTGTATTTATTATGTTGTTTGTCCRATTGAGTTATATTGTTGTTCTTTTGTGTCTTTATTAGATATGTCAAATGATTCCTAATTTTTCAAGTAATTCTCAAATTTGTTATTAATATTTTAAATTGTCAAAATTGTTATTAAAAATGCAACAAAAAGCTAACGAATCATCAAATAATTGTTATTAAAAATGCAACAATAGTCTAAATGTCATGTACGAGTAGTATCATCATGCATTAAAATGTGTAATAAAATAATAATTTAATTACACGTCAAATTTTTGTGTTTACGGAATGATTTCATTGAGGATTTTTAATACGGATATATTTGAGAATTATCTAATTGATTATATTTTATTTTAACGGGCTGAGAGCAATTATGACCCATTAGAGGACAAAAGGAATGGGCTACATAACTATAGGCCCATCACGCGTCTCCGAGTGCACGTGCGACATGGCTCTCAATTGATCATTGAAGGCGCGATTCACCTTCCATAAATAATTTAAAATAATAATAATAATAAATAAATTGTTTTTTTTAACGATAAAAATATTGTAAAGCCAACATTCTTTATTATTTTCTTTAGAATCTGGAAGTTCAATCCTCGGTGATTCTTTATTATTATATTTTTTTTAGCATTCAACAACGAAATAATGGGTATTCGAATATTTGATCTTGTAAGACGTTACTTATATACATTAATCGGTTGATCTAAGTTAACATTTTTAATTTAATCTTATGTTGACACTTTATAATGTCAAGGAGTTGTTTTTATAAAAAATATCACACGTGTATATGTTTTAAAATTATTTTTAATTATTTTTGTATGTTTTTATCTCCTTTGATTGCTTACGTTTTCATTAACTAAAAACCCATTATTAGAAGTATTATTTATGTCAATCTAAATATAATTCAATTATTTAAAGTATTTATTTCCGATTAGAAAGTTGTAAGTTCGAATTTCCAACTTCACATATTATACTAAACTAAAGTAGTGTTCTTTGGCCTAAATATTGTAAGTGTGGTGAGATTAATAAATATAAGAGTACGTTGTTTTTCCTTTAATTTTTAACATAACACTCACGAGTATAATTATTTATGCACGTGTAAATATTTAAACGAGGTGGAAGTTTTATTATAAAATTGACTAACTGGTGAAATGGGCCAAACGAAAAGACAATCTGAGCAAGTTGGGCCGATAATCCTTGATGGCTTCAATCCCATGCTATTCGCAATTTCACACGTATGTTTTATTTAATATATAAATCCGGTAGGGGGAAAAATAGTTAGATTTTTAGTTTTATGTTTCTAAAATCAAGTTTATTACTTCACAACTTAGTTTCGTTCCATTGTTAGATTTAAATACGATTTTAGTAGCTATACTTTTAATTTTATTTATTTTGTCGTTATATTTTTACTTTTGTTCATTTAAGTTATTATACCTCTAAAATACCTAATTTTGTTATTTTATTTTAAAAAAGTGATAGTTTTTTCTTATTTACAAAATATTAACCCATATTTTATACCAAATAAAAAAAATTAATACAAATTTATCACAAATAATTTAGCGGATTGTGTCATACTAAAATTATGATGAAAATAAATGAGATACAATGAAAACATGGATTAACTAAAATTGGGAGCACTTCAACCAAAATAGATAATACAACAAAATAAACTAGAGCCAAAACTTCATTATTCAAAATCGTATTTACATCTATTTTTATCATTTTCAAATATATATATATATAGAAGGTGGTTAAGATTTTTAAAATTTTATATTTAAGAAAAAAATAGAAGACTAAGAAACAAATTGATTAAAAAAATTATAATTGGAATGTGACGGGGAAAAATATTGAGACACGTCTTTATAGATTTAGATGTGAGTTAGATAAAATGGAAATTAAATATTTGGCATCTAATCTGCAAGAAATCGTCGGTATTTTAATTGAACAGTCTGAAACGAGAGTGGTCCAAATATTGCTCATTTTGAAATTCCCTTCCATACGCAAATTCCAATTAAACAATGTTTCCTTATTTTCATTCTTTCATATTTTTATTTTGTTTTATTGGGAAAGTAATAAAAAATCTATACGTTTAAATAAAATACCCAACCAACTCTCTCTTCCCGTCGTCTTTTCAACCAAACATTTATAATTCAATTATACATTTTTTAAATTCTTTACGAGATTGAGTTTTTTTTTTTGTTTCTTTTCGAGCTAAAAAATTATGACGTGACATATTCGACCATCAATTTTTAGGACGATATAACCATCAACTTTTATGACGAGATATATATATTAGTGTAATGGGGTAAATATTTGAACATCTGACATTTTGATAAATGATATGTACCTTAACCTATTGAACTTTTTAAAAGAGTGATAGATTCTTTATTTGCTGAGGTTCTAGAGGTGGGTTATTTATTTATTCTCCTCATAAAAAAAAGTAATTATCTTTGGAATTAAAAATTATTATCACATCAAGGAAAATATTAATCAAATTACTTAATTGACTTTTCATTATTGTAGTTAATAAAAATTGTTGTTTTCAATTTAGAATAGTATTATCCAACATGGGTTCACTAAATTAGTTAAGATATATATTCTCGATAAAAGTTATGGGTTGGAATCTCGATTTTAATATATATGGTACCAAAGAAAAAACTTTCAATATTAATAAAAAATCAATACGATTGATTAAAAATTGGGACAATAAATATCTATATATTTATTATTTGTTTAGTCTTACAATATATCCAGACAAATATTGACTTGGCTTTGGGAATTGAGTATTGTTCAACTTTTCTAGGTGTAGTAATTTAAATATCAATATCTATGAGAATATCAATAAATCATTGATGTTTGAAAATTTATGGAAAAAATATCTGGAAACATTATTAAGTTAATAAATATGATTCCAAACTTTTAAATCTGTTTAAAATGTTTATTATTATTATTATTATTATTATTATTATTATTTATGTTTAGATGGTTTTTTTATTGATATTTTTACCATATAATGAAAAAATATATATATTGTAGTTTAACAAAATAAAGATAGGAATTTGTACCTCCAATAAAAAAAATTAAGTCAAATGAAAAATATTTAGATAGGTATGGGTGGATGTCCATTTTCAGCATTAAATTTTTGACCAATAACAAAGAGAAATACATAAAAATATATATTTTTCTATTAAAAAAAACAAAAAGGGCTCAAAGTGTTGTTGATAGTCCCAAAACATGAGTACTTGATGTAAGGACACAAGTATTGTTCTCTGNTTTTTATAACGAAATAGTGGTTAATTCCTTACATTAATACTGATATCTTAAATATATATAAAATATCGACATAATGTCTACAAAAAAAAGTCCCACATTGCAACTGATTGTTGGGTTTGTGAGGTGATTGCAAACAAAGTCTCACATTAACTAAGGAAATGACTGTATAAGAGAGGACAATTATCTCCATTGGTTTGAGGCCTCTCGGGTGAAACCAAAAGCAAGGGCTATGACAACTAAAAACAAAGTCGTGAGGACTATGTCCAAAACGGACAATATCATACCATTGTGGAGATACTCGGGATACTGTTATCCTTAACTAATCAAATATGAATATTCAACTTTTAATTAAATTAAAATATTAGTTGATAAACATTTATTTTATATCCATTATAGTATTGGTTTAAAAAGTTTTCAATTGATATGTATCATAAAGTATATTCTACAGCATTAATTCAAACCAATAACCCAAGTTATAATTTATATCGTGGTCTAATCTAAATATTAATAATTAAAAAAACAACTAACACACATTTTTACAAACATCATGTGACCAAATGCAATATTTATATCCTTACGAATAAATTATTAGAGCCGTTAGATTAAAAAATAAATAAAATTTAAATGTTATAGTCTACTTTATTTTTAAGGTATATGTGAATATGCCATCGTATTTATCTCAATCATTTTAAATACCATAATCATTATCGAGATTTTACAAATCTCATCATATTTTTCGTTTTTTTTTTGTTATTTAATTATTTTTCTTATTATACATCGTTATTCGAAGTTAAAGAGGTAAGACATCATCCAAGAGGCAATAACCATTTCTCATTCGTTACTTTTCTAAATAATTATTTTTAATTATATTTTTATTTTCGAAAATGTCACCAAAATTTTAGAATACCACTGTTCGATAAGAAATTCGATCTCGAATTAATGAGCTTGTATTTTTATTTATGTATGTAGGTGTTACAATCTCTAATTTATAATCTCTTGATTAATTCTCTCAAATATAAACTTTAATTCAAGGGCTTGTGAGTTTGTTCCGGAATCAATGGTTGATGCCTTCGGTTTATTGTTTGTCGAAGGATCTTTGAAGTCTTCAGCTTTGAGCTTGTTGAAGATTTTGACTTGTTGATGAAGTTTTTTGGCTTGTAGCTTGATGAAGACTTTGTGAGGTCTTCGGCTTTGAGCTTATTGAAGAATCTTTGAAGTCTTCGGCTTTGCAGCTTATGAAGTGCTTCGACTTTGCAGCTTGTGAAGTCCTTCGGCTTTGCAGCATGTTGAAGTTCTTTGGCTTTGCAGCTTGTGAAGTTCTTCGACTTTACAACTTGTTGAGTTCTTCGACTTGTAGCTTGTGAAGTTATTCGACTTGGAGTTTGAGAAGTTCTTTGACTTTGAAGCTTGATGAAGTTCTTCGGTTGGTTGCTTGATGAAGAATTTGCAACTTGATGGAGTCTTCGGCTTCACGTCTTGTTGCTTGGTGAAGAGAAGATTCAGTATTCTTGAAGTCTCGTTGTCTTCAAGTCTTCAGTTCTTCGAGTTTGTTGGCTTGGGGATGCTTCGCTATAATTATAGACGACTCGCTTTGATGGTTCTGAATCTCCAATTCTTCTGGATCTCTTCTAATCCATATTCTTCTCTTTCTGGGTTCTTTTTCTTTCTTTTTTCTTCTTGCTCCCCCTTCAAATGAGGGGTGACCCCTCTATTTATAGAGTCTTGGTGGGTTTTTTATGGACCATGCACTTGGATCCAGTCTCTTAATGAGTTTTGATCCAATTAGTTGATTTCATCGGACGACCATATGAAAGACACGTGACACAATTTGATTTCTTGATTTACAAATTAATTTAGGACACGTGTAAATTTGTCCTAAATATAATTTTAATTCTGTGACGTGACATTGAATTTCTCCGTCAACAACCACACGGTGGGAATAATTAAAAAGTAAATAAATATTTATAAAATGTTGGAAAACCGAAAAAGACATAAAATAAAAAAAATTATAAATAAAATAAACACATAAATGGTTGAGGAGATAAGATTGAAGTGAGCAGTAGAGGACAAGAGAAGAGATGTGTTCAAGGTCGGGCATTGTAAACGTGTTCAAAATTCAAATATTTTTATTTCTAATAATTGATATACGATATTTACGCACCCAGAGGTCCCCAAACGCACTGCATGATTCAAACTTTTATTTATTTATTTATATTTTCGAGAAAGTGGATAAAATTTGAAAGAGCAAACATAAAAGTTCAAAATTTACTTGAAAGTTGAAACATGGTGAGTTATGTTAATTTTCGAAAAATATTTAGCTTCTTTAACGGTGGGAGGTTGGCCACTATTAAAAAGAATTGACAATTCATTATTTTTAATAAAAATTTCTTATTTTTTTTATTTATCTCTCAATCAAATATTTAATGGTTGTATGAATAATATTATTCGGAGCCAAATATTTTCTTTAATTTTCACTCAACTTTTCAATTTAATATTAGATTTAGATAAGTGTTGTAATTATTTTTACCTTYTATTCGATCCCGACTAATCCACCTACTAATATTAATGTAAAAACTTAAGAAATTTACTAATTCAATGAAAATCAATGGTTGCACAACACTAGGAGAGAAGAGAGAAAAAGAAAATAAATTAGCTCTACTGTCATTGTTACTTGAATTTTATCAATTTCATACTAAATATAAATATTATCATTGGTTGACACTCATGATAATAGTTTCAAATAAAGATTTATAGGAAGATGGAAGTTGCAAACAATACTTATCAACATTTATGATGCAATTGGTAAATGTTGCAATTGGTAAATGTTGCAATTGGTTGAAGTTAAGAGAAACATAAACGCACCTTGCTAAGTTAAGGTAAATTTTATCGTTTTTTCCAATTAAAATTGTTTCGGATAATCAAATAGATTTAGTAAATATTTGTTGGACAAATTTTTTTATAAAATTATTTTTCATTTTATGATATAGTGGAAATTTTAAAACAACAAGTCTATATTTTCAATCTTGAATTTGAAATTTGAAAATTCAAAATTACATCATAGAGATAAAAATTTGGATGAATATGTTATTTCATGTTATAAACCAATTTTATTTCTATAAAAATTGAAACATGTAAGGTATAATATATTATAGATTATATAAYATTGAAAAACAACAATTTTACAAAATTGAGAATATGTTAATAAATTAATTAATATCATTAGAAGATACCTTCACTATTTTTAGTCCAATAAATTAGGGGAAGAATTAAACTTTGTATTAATTATCGTTAAACTATATTCATAGTACTTTATCATTAAAAATTTGATAATTTTCTTTTTCCACAGACATGGAATGTTATTAAAATTTATAGACCATAATAAAATAAGATATGAAATTGGGGAATGAAAAAAAAAACAAAACAAAACCCGTTTGAATTTGCAAACGTGTTGCGTGGCCAAACACCCATCCTCTGCAGTCCGCCCCATTGCCTTGCCGCTGCGTCCCTCTACACGCGGCGATCCGAAAATATTTAGAAAATAAATATATATATATATATATTTCAACTTATTTGTTCCAAACAAAAACCATCTCTATCCATTTTTCTTTTCAACCTTTTTTAAATAATAATAATAATAATAATAATAATTTTCTTCCTCAATCAAACTATCTTGCTTTATTTTATTTTAATAAATGCTCTCGTCTTTATCTCCACCCATTAAATTTATTTGGCAGTGCAAAGGAATCAGTTTCCTTCACCCAATTACTTCAATTAATTTCAATTAACTGATTAAAATAATGCAATGAATCTGTTTCTCTCTCTATTTCTCTACTCCCTCTTCAGTTCACATTATTTCTCCTTCAATTTCCAGTCAAATTCTTTGCTCAAATTCCAGCCCTGTCCTCAATTCCTCGTCATCTTCTTTCCCCCGACCTTTAATGGCGGAAATCTAACACTCCTCGCACAGAAATGCTAATTAAGAGCTGAACAAYAGTATGTTTCCTTCCCTTCCTTTCCTTTAATTTCATTCTCTCTGTATTCGATTCTTCGACCGTGCCGCTGAATTCGCTTTTCCCTTTTTTCTTCCTCTTTCCTTTTTCGCCATTCGGATTCCCCGAGTTTTTAATCACTGTATTTGATCGCTCACCAAACCAGAGACCGCCGGAGCTCACATTCTTCAAAAGAAGAAAGAAAAAAACCTAGCCGGAATTTCGATCGGAGAAGAAAGAGAACAGAGGATCGATGTCTGTAACGTCGTCGTTTTGTTTGGCGGACCAAAAGCCGCGCTCCAATCTGGAACGGTTTCTTCAATGTGTGACGCCTTGCGTTCCTTGGCGAACTCTTCCTCGGGTAAAAAAATTCTCATCATTCTTCTTCCATATTATTATTATTTCTTATTCTGTGTTTTTCTCTACAAATCCTACATTTTTTCCTCCACAATTGTTTATTTCTGCATTTTTCTCTGAATTAAAATTGCAAAAAATCCATGTGGTGCATTTCAGAGAATTTTCCATTTTCTAAATATCATTTTCCACCACAAGCCTAATCCATCTAAGGAATCTTTTCTTTAAGTCGAATAATTCTAAATTTGAAAATTCAACTCTTTAATTTTCTCTCCCATTTTCCACCGCCAACCTAATTTTCCATCTCTCCACGCCCACGGTCAGGGTCAGATTTCATTTAATAATATTTTAAATATTTGTTAAGATCTTTTAAAATATTGTTGGGAAATGAAAAGCCAATATTGGAAACAAGTTAAGAAATAGCCCATCCTTAATTTCCTTGCCTTTTCTGAATTTGCAGATATTTATTAAATTATTATTATTACTGTAATTTTATCTGGAGCAAAAAAAAAGGCACTCGAATGAATCAGTCAGGAATATTGCAAAACGTGGCGGATAGATTTCCAAATCTTTTAACTCACTGAGTCACTTTCTCTTTCGACTTTGTTGTAATGGGCCCTTTAACGGGCCGAGGTCGTTGTCCTTTTGGGCCCATTAAGATGGTGATTGCTCTTCTAGTATATTCGCTGAATATACTCTAATTTATAATTATTATTTTCCAATAATTCATTTTCTTATAGGTTTAGTAAGTTTTTGAGCTCATTGTCTTAATATTACTAATTATTTATTTTATCGAGACAGTTTTTTAGTTTTTTTTAATAATTAATTTATTTTTTATACATTTCTGACCGGTAATCATGCTAGTCCGGCAGGAAAATGTTGTTATATTTATTTTGGAAATCAACATACAAGAGTGGCATAAAGCAACGTGTCCCTAAAGTGGGCCCCAAATTTAATAGATACGACACATGATATGTTTTTTTCCCAACGTCTTATCTTTAAGAAAAGTCCCTCATGATTTAAGTTCTCTTTTACAAAATGTTTTAAAATATTTTTATTATTTATTTATTATTGGTTTACGTTTTCAAAAGGTAGGACCATTTTTGTTTTTTGTTTTGTCATAGGAATATTCTTACTGAAAGGGAAAAACATATTATTAGCTTGCTTAAGTTAACTGTATACGTTGATCAATATAAGATTGCACTTTATCTCTTATTTAGCATTTATCTAAACCAAACGATCAAAAAGTTTGTGAACTCAAATAGAACTCAGGCCCAAATTTAGTGAGAGATGTCTGATTTCTCATATTTTGGTTTTTCTTTTGAAAAGATATAAATGACAAAACTTCAGGGAAAGATTAGACAGGAATAGGACACAGTACTGAAAGAAAATGTAGAACTGTATTCAAAGAAGTAAATTATTAAGTCAAATTAATGAAAATTTCAAACCTGGCCAAGATTTGTATAAGTTTTTATACCATATTGTTGCGTCAGTTGGGCTGTCACTGGAAAACATTCATTTTAAATACGTAAGAAAAAGGGCCTACATGATTTCATTGATTTGCTTGGCTTTTCAACATTTTCTCTCATGTAATCTTCTTGGCAGTTGTATGACTCTGAGGTAGGGAGATTTGAAGCCAAAATAAAGTCTCTAAACGAACTGGATTACTTGTCTAGTTACTTAAAGAGAATTTTTCTATTAGTTCTCAGCTGGTTTCACTAGTTTTCTTCTTAGCCATCTCTGATAATTTTTTGATAACTGAGTCTTAACCCATCATCTTTCTTTTCCGTATAGAGCTGCCTCCATGATCTCAACAGTCTCTGGCAACAACCCGATAAGGATACCGTGCAATACTTCACGCTCCGTGAGTTGTGGGATTGCTACGATGAATGGAGTGCATATGGTGCCGGTATCCCGATACAATYGAACGGTTTGGAAACTGCTACCCAGTTCTATGTGCCTTATCTGTCAGCAATTCAGATCTACACAAGCAAGCCTGCTGCCCCAACCAGGTATTCCGAAGCAACTTTAATTCAATGCTGTGTTGTGTTTGAAAAYTCTGTTTCCCTTCAGGCACGTGGTTATTTACTGGAATATGGATATGTGATGCGACACAAAACTGGAAAGAATAGGATAAGATGTAAAAGGGACGTTTTAAATACAAATCTGTTTTGAATGCATTGTATGTAATGTTTGTCTTTGTTGAATGTCTATTTGTAGAACCCGAAGATATGATAGTGACATGGCAGAGTGTGAAAGTGATTCTTGGAGCGACGATAGTTGGAGCGATAACCTGTCAAGATCCCTGAGCAACAACTCTAGCAGGACATGGGATGCTGTTTCTGAAGATTCGAGCTTCGACCAGGAGGGATCATGGCCACCAAGGGAGAAACTTGGCTACCTCTCCTTAAAGTATATGGAGATGTCTTCTCCTTATTGGAGAGTGCCTTTTATGGACAAGGTATATATCTTTTAGCCTATTSTTTTGAAGACAAGGCGTTCTGTTCAACTATTTCAACGTCAACATAGGAAATTCAGTGTTGTTAAAAACATGAAAAACAAAACATTATGAACTTCAAATTTAACAGTTCTGTAGTTATTGATAAGCCTTGAATAAAGATGTAAAGCAAGTTTCGATATTCAAATGCAAAACCAAGTGGATCTTTTTCATGGAAAATAATTTCCTACTGACTGGTTGGTTAGCAGGGGAGATTTCTAGCTGACTACCATTAAGTTTTTAGCGGTGGTTAGCAAGAAATTTCAGTGAAGTAATATTCATGTTACATAACGTTGAAGAAATGTAAAGTAATAGTAACATAATCGCTGTATTACGTTGCAGATAACGGAATTAACTCAAACCTATCCAGCATTAACTACACTTAGGAGTGTGGATCTTTCTCCCGCTAGTTGGATGGCTGTTTCTTGGTAAACATCTCTTTCCTCTTTCTATAGAAAAATGCTAGAGATTCTTTTCCGTCACATTTCCTTTCTTCTCTCCGTAATGGTTTCGTTCACTGCCATCTACTTAAATCAGGTACCCTATTTATCACATCCCAAGTCAGAAAAATGACAAAGACTTCGCCACATGCTTTCTAACCTATCACACATTGTCTTCATCTTTCCAAGGTGGGTGATTGTCAGTTCTTCTTTCATATATGAAAGGATATTTTATCTGTTTCATGAGCAAACTGCATCCACCAAACTTGTTAGCTCAATGTTTYGATGACTGCAGATTGCTATCTGGATCATGAAGGGCAAGATGGATGTAGTTGTTCCGATACCACGGGCCAAAGCGAGGACAAAAGTAGTGCTTCTACTTCAACTTGCCTTTCCCCATTTGGGTTGGCCAGTTACAGAATGCAGGGAGATCTCTGGTTGAGGCCAGAGACGTCGTCTGATTATGAACGGATAGTCGATCTCTATCATGCTGCGGATTCATGGTTGAAGCAGCTTGGCGTCCATCACCATGACTTCAACTTTTTTTCCCTCCACTCAACCTTGTAAAAAACCAGTTTTCCATTTCCTAGGCTGGCTCACTGACTCTTCTTGTTCRTCATCCAGGTTGTTCTTTTTTTTGTTCCATTCCAACATGAGAAACTCCAACTCAGCCTCTGGCCACTGCAGTTCAGTTCATATGACAGAACAACCCTTTTGTACCTTTTTTTTTTTGAACTTAGGAAAACGATGAATGCTGTTTTAGARGCAGAGGGCATCACCTCCCACTGAGTTTTGGTGGAGGGGTGGTTTTGGATTCAGTCTTCAGTTTTCTATCCTTTTAACCTTTTATTTATGGTGTGGACTTCCCTGGAGATGTAGGCTGGTTTTAAAAGACATGACTGAATACTGATTGGGAGTTGTTACTGTAACGAGTGTCAATTTGTCGATTTAAATGGATGGACTCTCTTGCTGGTGGAGTTGTACTGTAAGTATTTGTTATTAGTTTCCTTTTAACTTTTACTTAACTGTATGTTTCTGACTTCTAACCATTGAGGGTGGTGGCGTAGTGGGCTTGCAGTCGAATGGAGTTATCCCCTCTGCCATTCGAGGCTTGCAGGYCGCATAGTTGGGGYTTCTCCCTCCCTCCATTAAAGGACAAGTCCCGTAACGTCAATTACAGTAGTAAGTGGTTGTCGACACCTTCCGATTGTAGGAAATTCTTGGTGTAAGCCACATGACATTCATTTTGGGTTATCAAAGAAAAAAGTAAAAAAAAAATGTAGTTTCTGATTTTTGAGCATGGTTATTTTCTTGGGAAAAAAGGTCTCTGTCTTCCTTTGTTCCTGGAATATAATAGGACAGAATAATTCAGATTGAGAAGGGGATGTGACAATTAAACTCGTAGGGTGGGGGGGTTTTATTCTTTTTTGGAAAGTGGGTTTGTAGTCGAATGGGGTTGTTCAAACCTCATGGGATGCATAGTCGAGGTTTTTCCSTTCACTCACATTTGGGGACGAGCGTTGCAACTTCGATTACAATAGTGGGTGGTTATCGACATCTCAATTATAGGAAACCTCTGGTGTAAGTCACAMGGTATCGATTTGAATTATATAAAAAAAAAAGTTTTTGACTTATGGACATGCTTATTTTTTTTTAAATGCCTCTCTTCCCTTATTGCTAGAATATAATACGACAGAATAATTCAAATTGAGAAGGAAATGTGACCATTAAACTAGTAGGGTAAGGGGCTCTAAGTTTTTTTTGGAAAGTGGGGTTGTTATTTTGTTTTGRGATCTTAGGTCAAGAGTCTTCGACCTCGAGAAAAGAAGTATAAGTTATTTACACTTGAGTCACGTATCAATTGGGGTTGAATTATTTACCCTAACTTGAATGAGATAAAAGATAAARGACAAACATTTTGATTGTTTGAACAAGTTCCATTCGTAATTCAATTTATGAAAAATAAAATGGCAAGTTACAAAATGTACATAGTAATGTTTCATTTAGAAATATTTTATTTCAACTTTTTAGTTTTCATGGGTCAATATATATATATATTTTTCTTTGAAGTTTTTAAAATATGTGAAGTTGGTTTGTCTTGCTAGGTAGAACAACATCAATGGCTAACCTAACGACATCAACGAATAGACACTTTATTTAACTTTATAATATTAACGATGCTTAATGTGATATAAAAATTCCTAAATTTAGTACGTGACCATTAATTATTATTATTTTTCTTTTACATTCTCACTCTCTTTTATTTTCTATTTATTTTTGCACATATATTTGTCAACTTTCCCATTTAATTTTTTTTATTTTTATTTTTTACATTCTCTATAACAAATCGTTATCTTATATATATATTTTTAAGCAAAATCGTTATCTAGTCGTTGGTAAATTAATTTTATTAATTTTAAAAATCTACACAACTATTTTGTTAGTTAAATCAATATGAAATATTTAATTTAACTTAATTGATTTTAAAATTTGTAAGCAATTGTACTTGATTGAAATCATTAATTCATTATCAACATTATTGTTGATTATGGATTATTTTCTTAATTTTCAAGATATCATCAACTGACTTACTGATCAAATTATTATGATTTTTTTACTTAAACTTAAAATTTTAAAATGAAATAAAAAAAAAGCTTAAAATTTTTAAAAATGCTACTGTAATTTAAATAGTAAATACATAATTCTTATTAATCCCATTCATGTAATTCAAACACTTTTTAATTATTCAGAGAAAGTCGTCCCTTCAATATATATATATATATATATAGTTGTACAGGTAAATTAAATTGACCTTAGGAATTAAAAACAATTCGCTCTCAATTAGTAATTATTTTATATTTAAATTTTATTTTTGAGTGGATAACCAAGTTCTTAAAAAACCGCCTTTGCATGTGACCGTTCATCTACAGGTGATGAACTTGGAGAATTAGATTAAGAATTCGTAGAAAATATCATACAAATCATGTAGTTGTTGGGGAAGAATCCGTGAGATTTCCCCTAAATTTCTTCATTTGGAGGAAAATTTAAAATTGACCTTTATCCCAAATTATAAAATAAGAAAGATAATCAATATTCTTGAGGCCCATCAATTCACAACTGTCACCATGGCTGCGATCGATTCGTCCTTTAAAATTTAAACCGTCCACTGCAGAATTTTTTTGCTCTCTGCCTGTGGCTGTTGCTCTCTGGCAAGTAGTGAGACAAAATTAACAATCTCATGCGTTACAAGATTCTTAATCCGTTGATTACGATTACTTCCACTTCCCGTCATCATCCTGGCACTGGACTTGGCGATAGCAGAACCAGCGCCTGATTCTGATTCTTCGCTTTCTTCTCTCGTTTCTGAAATTATTTTTCCATTTTGGGGTTCCGGTGCCGCTTTATTATTTCCTTTTATCAATTTTTTTCCCAACCGCAATCCATTTTTCCGGCACCGGCAACCCAGTTTCGCGAGATTTGATGGTTCGGAGTTGGTAATTTCGAAAAATTGATATGGGGGCGCTCTTGATTCTGACGTTCGTGTTTGGTTTTGCTTTGGGGGTTGTGGCAATCATCGCGGCGGAGGCTCTGGGAGTGTCTATCATGTTGAGGAAGTTGAGCAAGAGGTCTGAGAAGGACCTGGCTAAAGCCCATGCCAAGTTAGAGAAATCGGTGCCAGATCCTCTCCAATCCCTTGAATTTCTGTCCAACAAACAGGTAATTTTTGGTGCCTTCAATCTTGGAAATTAGAATTTGTAATTCTCAATTCAGGTTTTGCTGTATTCTTGTTTCGTTTCAGAATGCATACGTGGGAAGAATTTACGGAGATTATATATTGCATCACTAGTCAATGTTCACAGTGGGGGTTGGTTTTACCAAATTGACTAATAATTCTGGATTTTGGTGCTTGGGAGTTTGGCTTCTTGAATTTTACTCGCATTCATTCTGTTTTAGGCTCTTCGAAAGATAGACTTGTATTAACTACTGATCCACGGCACTTGTGCCATAATAGTTCAATCTTTCTAATTTTCAAGAGGAAAATATATCATCAAGGGCAGTATCTTAAGTTGGTTTGCTTGTGGAGCTATGTTACTAGATGTACTGATACTTTACATCAACAAGTAGGCTGGTAATGTAAATGTGCTCTTTGTTTCTCAGGGTCCTGTTTGGATACTAGAATCAAATGTCCTAGAAGATTTCGTTGAGAAAGCATCTAAAGAACAAAAGAAAAAGAAGGATTTCTTGGAGGTAACTCCTGTGAAAAGGTATGCCACAATCAAGGACCATAAATTAATGATATTGGAACCTGGTGGTAAGAAGAAAACAATTCAATTAAATGGCTGCACCATTGAAGCCGTTTCAGCAGCAACCTTGCCTTCAAGAAAATGGTAACATTTTTCATATCTCATCTACTTCTTTTCAATTTTCTCTTCGATTTTATTTTATTGAACGGTACCAATATAAAAATTTTGTTTCATAGGGGAGTTCCAATATTTTGGTTGAGTGCTTGTAATATGCCCTTAAGCATACTGTATACAGCCATGTGATACGTGTTCAAATGTTTGGGAAATCTAGAGAAGAGATGTTGCAATGTTTCATCTCTCAATTTGTACACTGGCTCAAGTATAAGCAATGTGTCTGTAACTGAATTGAAGTCCAGCATATATATATGATGGTGTTCATGCCCAGAATTTTCGGCTTACAAACATATTCCTTTTTTATTCTTACTTTTCGGTATTTCTTGAGATGTTGAATTCAATATCAAAAGCTCCAACCATGGCCTATATTCTCTCACTAACTTTTGTTTCCACAGTTAAAAGAGCTATTAAATCTAGGAATGAGTTTTAGGTCATTTATTAAGTACTTATGTGACCTGTAAAATTAAGTTGCACTTGCACTAGTTATTGAATTCCTTGTTATGATCTGGTTAGAAATGGTTGAATTTGTAGTACCCTTATGGCTTATGCACACAAGTATATTTAGTAGTATGACTATTACTGAACCCAGAGCTTTTCAAAGCTAGTCCACCCTTGTATTAAAGGCTTGAATATTGATTCTCTTACTGTTATTTATTGATGCTTATTCATTCCTCTTAACGCTACATGAAACAGCTATTGAAACATTGCATACTCTTGATGTATGGAAAATGATATTGTTTTGTTATCTGTTTGAATTTCTTCAGCACGTCAGTATTTGTCTGCAATGTTGGAAATCTTTTCTGCTGTATGTTACAGTGTGAAACTTGTTATCGCTGTATAATTGTAGTTTGACGTAAATAATGAGAAATCTAATTTTTGTCTTTTATTATTCTTCTGAGTTCAAGACATCATTTTTTTAATTCGATTATTGGTATTTCAGGGTGAAAAGGTTCCCTTTAAAATTGGAAAATAGGACCTCTGTAATTTATAATGAAAGTAAAACAATTTTCATTTTTCTTGAGACTTCCTGGGAGAAGGAATCATGGTGTAAAGCCCTCCGTTTTGCTTCATGTGTTGACAAACAAAGACTGCAGTGGTTTGCTACATTGCACAAAGAGTTCCATAGTTATATCTCTTCATTAAGTACTGGGTATCCTTCATTTATGAAGCCCTCTGCAGGGTACAATGCTGAAGCAATAGATAAGGAGATCAAGCCTAATGCTTCTTCTTCAAAAGTTCGCTTATTTTTCAGAAGGCTGACAAAGAAGACTTCAAAGGCTGGTTTGGACTACAAAATAGGTTCTTCTTCTTTGCGTGAAGAAAAGAAGATTAGTGAGAGGATTCATCCGAGTCCAGATTTTCTTTCATCAGCAAGCTTGCCAAGGGGAATTCCAAAGGTGCGGAGTGCTAAAAGTTTCTTGGAGGAAGATATGGCAGCACCATCAACCTTGACTCATTCAGGAAGCCAAAGTCAAGCCTCTGTTGTCTCGGAAGCAGATTCTGATGAGAGGCTCTGGACTGATGAGGGAACACTTTGTTGGAATTTGTTGTTATCACGATTCTTTTTCGATGCGAAAAGCAATGAAGGGCTAATGAAATCCTTGCATGATCGAATTCAGGTTCGTTGTTTTCCCCAAGAGCTTTCTTTTTTTCTTTTTTGGATTGTTGCATCAGTTAAAGTGGTGTCAGAGGCATTTAGATGATTTTGGTTGATTGCCTATCTAATACTCCTATCATTACTTCCTCATATCGTTTTGATGATTATTTGGGAAAAGGATGAGCACACACATATTCAACCAATAATGCTGTCAACTGCAAGACATGTAGATGTTATGAAGTCAATTGTGGTTTATTAGGATGTTATCATGCTGGACTGTCCTTTCTTGGAATAAATAAAGGCAATGTTGCTTAAGTCGTGCTATTTAGAAAAGTCATGTAACTTTTGTTTGTCATGGCAGAGGATGTTGTCCAGGATGAGGACTCCGAGTTACATTGGTGAAGTCATCTGTACTAAAGTTCATCCTGGAAATCTCCCGCCCAATATCAATTCTATTAGGGTTCTTCCCTTTGAATTGAATGACGTATGGGCTTTGGAGGTTGACTTCGAATACTCTGGAGGTTTTGTCTTAGACATTGAAACTAGAATTGAAGTTCATGAATTAGATCTTCAAAAAAACGCAGTGGACTCAAAATCTGATTCAAGTGATGTTGGAGATGTTTCTTCAATTCTAGAAGATTATCTTGGAAAGCAGTTCATTACTTCTGAAGGAACAGAACAGAACCAGAACCAGGAAGGTGATTGATTAATCATTAGATGGTTTTTGTGATATTATTGTGTTATATCCTCATGAATTAATAACTTAAATTTCTTTTTGTTAATGTTTCTACTAATCTTGAGCATTTCACCTGCACAAAGTCTTAAATGACATAAGATCGAAGTTCTCAAGATTAAATGAATATAATGATAATATTGGAAGTAACTATGAGACTTGAATTCACATGGGCATGAAATTGAGGTGTACTATTTTTGAGCTATATACAGGATTTAGCAGTATTGAACTTTGATAGCATTAAACAACTAACAACGACCTTACTTGAACAGGATCTGTTCTATAGGTTGTACAACTTTCTTTTTTTTAAAACAACTAACTAGATCTCTACTCAATATATGAGGTGGTATTGAAATGGATGTAGTTATAATGAAATGAATGAAGCTGATAAAGATACTAGTTGACAAGAGATAAAAAGTAATCAAGAGTTTTCCGTTTGATCTGTTAAGACACTGTTTATTTCTTTACTCTGTTTTCTGAATCTTATTTACAGAAGACTTAATGATCTAAGCTTTTTCCTTTAATTTGAACTTCATGTTTTTACTTTTAAGGTTGCCATAATGTATATATATATGTAGCTAGAATTCTGATTTTGGGTTCAATCGATATGATCGTCGTGAAAACAATTGATAGATTGACTGAGTAGATCAAAGTTTTATATGATGGTCGGTTGCAGGTGGATCAGGAAACAGTAAGAACTCCACGTCCTCAACGACTGGTGGATCCAGGTGGAAATCTCTAATGAATTCCATTGCTAAACAGGTTTCTCAGGTTTGTAGAATCTCCGCACTTTGAGAATTCCGTAGAAGATTATCTTTAAACCAAAGAGACACTGTTATAGGTGTCTTGGATGCATGAAGTTGGCCCCTTTTATATTTCTTTTTGTTTTTTTTTTTGAATTTATAGGTGCCTATCTCTTTGGTAGTAAAGATTGCATCTCTTCGAGGAACGCTGCGGTTACACATAAAGCCGCCTCCTTCTGATCACTTATGGTATGGTTTTACATCCATGCCTGATTTGGAGTTGCGCCTGGAATCATCGTTTGGGGATCATAAGATTACCAGTGGGCATGTTGCTTTGTTTTTGATCAACCGGCTTAAGGTATGGAGATGTGTTTCCAAACATGTTGGAATATGTTTCTTCATTTGTCTTGTAAACATAAATATGTTGTTCATGTAGTATCTCTAGCATTGGTGTCACACACACACACATGCATTATGAGGCTGATATAGTAACATATAGATATTTGTGGTGACGCCAACAAAACTCATGTCGGGATATTTTTGTTTCACATTAAAAAAAACAAAAGAAAAAGGAAGAAACGGTTACCTTAGAATCACATTTGACAGTTGGAAAAGAACATCAGGACTCAACCATTGTAGATATGTTTAACCGTTTGAATTCTTTTGATCAAGTGCATAACCCAGTGCTGAAACAGGTTAAAATGTTACATGAACATAGAACTCACTACACTTGATAATATCTTCTATAGAATACACAACCTTACTTGAACATGATCTGTTCTATAACTGCTGTTTCCTTGAGTTCTAAGATTTCAGGATCTGTTCTATAGGTTGTACAACTATTTCCTCGAGTTCTTGAGTTCTAAGATATCTTCTGTAGAACACATATTTGGAAAAGCTTCAGATATATGGGATTCATAACCTTTCCACAATGGAAAAATACATCAAGTTTCCTTTGCATAAATTGGATGAAATTTAGTAACTGAGTGATATTGTTGCAACTCCAGCTGATACTGCCACTGTTTTCAATTATGCAGGCAGTAATCAAGGATACTCTAGTGCTCCCCAACTGTGAAAGTATTTACATCCCTTTCATGATGGCAGAGAAAAATGACTGGGTTCCGCGGGATGTTGCACCGCTTCTCTGGCTTAACCAAGGAGCTTCTGATAATAAAACTGCATCTGAAAATCAGAGATGCCCTCCTGTTGAGGCCAAAAATAGATCTGACGCCAGTAAAGCAACTTCCACTGATCAACAGGGAACTGTACATAAAAAACCAAAGAACGTTGAATCATCTCAACCGCAGTCTGACTTATCAAATGCATCAAAGGCTTCATCAAGTACTGGTAATCCAGTTCCAGCTACAAGTACGACATTGGATGAAAATGAAATGAGAATCCCTTTGTTAGAAAATGACAAAGCAGTTGTAATTTTGCAGCAAAATAGAGAGGAGGCCCAAGAGAATTACCCACCATCTAGATCTAGAAGCTTATTTGGGCTGGAAAATCAAAACGCTGAAGAAGATGACTCAAAGCCAAGGAGAATAGGAAGAAGAGCAAGAATGCTGGAAATAGGGAAGAAGATGGGGGAGAAACTAGAAGAAAAAAGACGTAATATTGAAGAAAAGAGCAGGAATATTGTTGAGAAGATGCGAGGAACATAAATTTAATAAATCTCAATACTTGAAAATGGAAGGCAGGAAATGTGAATCTGATTCTGAGAAGTGAAAATGGGGGTTCTTCGTTTCTTCCAGATTCACATACTAAAGCTACCAGAGTACAAATTTTGCAAGTATTGTTTTCTTTCTTGATTCTAGAGCTCGATTCAGGTGGAGCTGAGGAAATTCAAATTGTATTGGTCCAGTTCTGAGTATAGGAAATCCTTAATGTGATATTTTTGTGTTTTATGGGTTAGATCAACATTTCTCTCTGTATAGAAACCTTACAGTTACAAGCTTAATCCCCGTGAACATTGGTGCGCCGTTGGGTACATCAAATAAAAGGAGCTTATCAATACATTAAAGAATTTTTTTATCATGCTGTCTGGGTCCGCAAAGACAATCAAGTCTAAGGATTTTTGCTGCTCAGTTAAATATAAACGAACTTACCATGCCAATGGGAGGCATTAGTTCTACTGGATTCTAATACGACTGCCAGTTTGGAAATTGAAGCCTAATATCTGGAAGCCATCCAAATCTTTTTCCTTATCCACCCTCCCTCTGCACAAACAAATTGCAGAACGTGAGGGATGAGCTATCGAAATATTTAAAGAAAAACAGTGGATGTCAAAACTTAAAAGTCAATATTTGAAATTGCAAGTGAATATTGTGCAGAGTAAATGGGGAGAGCGTATACCATAATTATAAAAGTTGACGACTTCTGATGGAGCATAAAAATTGCCTATCTTTCCTTCCCTCGAGCATTGTTTTCGACCTCCTTTTCTTCCTTTTTTTCTCTCCAATTTGGCCTTAATGAGAAACCATGGAGAATCATTATGACCTTTTCCCCAAGTATTTGTGGTGCTTGAGTTTTTATCCTCAAAAAACTGGAACCTAACCTACGTTCGGGTGCAATCTCTTCAAAGAGAGATCTTGATTCGTCTGGGATCTTAAAATAGCTCAACTTACGATTCAACATTCTCCTTCACAATAATGGGCCAGGTAAGAATCTTCAGTTTCATAGAAAACCAGGACCGCATAAGAATCTTCAGTTTCTTAAATATTCCAAATTTCCAAGCAATCATTGTAAAGGTACAAGTAAAGTTTCCATCATATCAACCACAAAAATGAACATGGATTGGCAAGAGTAACTCTCAGCTTCCCGATTCATCAAGTAGTCAAATCTTGTTGTTGGCTCTCGCACAAGGGAGAACCAAAATAAATTGGTGGAAGACTATATAATCTTGTATTATAAGATGTCTGCCTGTGATCTTATATTCAATTATCAAAACATAACAGCTATCATCATAACCTTCTAGATTCTTAACGATCCTCAAAGCAGCACTTGGTACATAGTCACGTGCTTTGACGAGGCAAGAGCCGACCTCTCACCATGAACCGTCCAAGCTCACCCACTCCCTTCATTTCCAAACCCCATGAAGGTTTCCATAAGGAATGTGCAATATACCATTTACTGCTTATGTTGAAGGTTCAATAATGGAACTGGTAGCTAACAAAAATATTGGTAGGGCCATGGATTTAAAGCTGGCTACATCCTGGTTCTTTGACCAGACCTTTATCACCGATCAAACTTCTCACTACAGCTGCTTCTTTCCACTTACCCACAGATGTATATAAATTAGCCACCAAAACATGATTTACTGGGTTTCCAGGATTTGAACCTGATATGTTTTTATTTGCAACTTCTCCAAGTTCGACATCGCAGTAAGTCCTGCAAGCACTGAGAAAAGGAACCCAAGCTTGAGCTTGAAATTGGGCAGGCATCTCTTGAATTGCGTTCAAAGCCAATTCTAGATGACCAGCTCTGCTTAGGATATCTACCAAACAAGTATAGTGTTCCACAGTAGGTTCTATTCCAAAATCCAATTGCATGTTCTTGAAATGATTCAGCCCATCTTCTACTAGACCTGAGTGACTGCAAGCCAATAAAATGCTTGCATAAACAGAAGCATCTGGTTTTATTCCGGTTCTTCGCATCTCATGAAACAGATTTATAGCCTCTTCTCCCATCCCATACACAGCGTAGCCATTCATCATAGCACTCCAAGCTGCCAGGTCTCTACTTATCATACTTTTAAAAACTCCTTCTGCCTTCTTAATACTTTCACATTTACAATACATATGTATCAATGATGTCGAAACTTGACAATCTACCGCTACACCATTCAGCTGTATGTATGCTTCCATCTCCTTGCACATGCTCAGCGATCCTGAATCAGCACAAGCAGAAACTGCAGTAGCTAGCATTGCTCCATTTGGTCTAATATTATTCTGTGTCGCCATTGTAAATAGATGTAACGCTTCTCCAGGGTACCCAGCATTGGCATATCCACTTATCACCGACGTCCACAAGAAGATGCCTTTTTCAGGTAACATATCAAATACTGCTCGAGCAGACAAGTGGTCGCCGCATTTTGAATACATGCTAATAAGCAAGCAGCCAATAGGATCCTCACTATTGAGCCCAATTTTCAGTAGGAGAGAATGAAGCGAAGAAGCTAAAAGCAAATTTCCAAGTTGTATACAAGAGGAAATGATGTCCACGAAAACGACTTTATCCAATACCACATTATTTAGTCTCATTTGACTAAAGATTCTGAACACTTCGGCAACAGCCCCAGATTTCAAGTATCCACCAAGCATTATTGTCCAAGAAATTACTGTCTTGCCACCTATGGCATAAAAAACAGAGCGAGCAGCATCAATTTGACCAAAGTTTACATACATTTTCATGAGAGAATTTGCCACGGGCGTGTCATTTTGAAGTCGAAACTTTGTTAGGCAACCCTGTATCAGAAGGCACTGAAAGAGAGACCCGTGAACTGGGTTAGCAAAACCGGACAATAAGCTCACAAATGTCGAGGAATTTGGCTCAAACCCAAACCCCCACATCTCTCGGAATAGCTTAAACCCTTCATTAACCCGAAAAGCGCGAGAATAAGCAGCAATCATCGAATTCCAAGAGATGACACTTCTCATAGACATTTCGTCGAACACTTGGCGTGAAGAAGCCAAGTCGAAGCATTTGGAGTACATATCCACGAGTGAGGTTTGAACGAAGATATCTGTTTCGAACCCGACGCGGATGAGGTGAGCGTGGAGCATCGTGCCATCGCCAATCGAAGCAAGATTGGCGCAGGCCTTGAGGAGGAGAGGAAAAGTGAAGTTGTTACCATGAATTCCAGAGTGGCGCATAAAGGAGTAGGTTTCGAGAGTTTCGGCGAAGAAACCGCCATTGACGGAGCTTCGAATCATCAAGTTCCATAGATAAAGAGGTCTTTTGATAAAACCGGAAGATGGGGAGAACCTATGAGCCTGCATTTATTGATTGATTTCGCCGCTTTTGCATTGTTGAGGAACCAGCAACCGTCAATCAACAGACAAATGCGGGCTGTGAATATAATATAATTTTTGCCATTTGGTAAATAATAGATTATTGACCTCAAAATAAATAATAAAGTTCAATTATCGCTGAATATGCTCAAATTGCATTTTAGTTTAATTGTTTAATACATCATTTTAATTTTAATCTCTAAATTTTTTTTGTCCAAACCAAAAAACTACAGATAAATGTAATTTTTTGTAGTTCAACGATGAGTAATTCCAACTGCTGGTAAAAATATAATTTACTTATTTATTTAGTTTGGATGAGCCTTTTTAATTTTAGGCGCGACATTTTATCCATATTTAAATGTGTATTTATTTGTCTCCAACCGTGAAAAAAACATACCAGAAATATCTTCTTAAAAATTTCGTTAACACCGACGAGAGGCAAGAATCCCGGCGCTGCAAATTCCACAAAGGCCATCGGCCGGCCAATTGCCACACTGCACATGGTGGCGATGCTCATCCCTTCTTGCCTGAACCCTACCCCAAAACTTGGTCACTGGAATCGCCCTCCAATTCTCTCAGCGCTATGCAAACATCAGAGAGGAGCGAGGTTGGAGATTCGCGGCGTCGCGAGGCCTCAGATACTGCCGTCTGCATTCGGAGAAGACAATGGCCTCCGAGTCTTTGTGCTCTCCGATATGCACACGGATTACGCCGAAAATATGAACTGGATTAAGTGCTTGTCTTCTGTCAACTATCGAGACGATGTTCTTCTCATTGCAGGAGATGTGGCTGAGACCTACACTAATTTTGTTTCAACCATGGCTCTGTTGAAGGATAGATTTCAGCGCGTCTTCTTTGTGCCTGGGAATCACGATTTGTGGTGTCGTCGAGAGGGAGGCGATTGTGTAAGTTGTCGCAGGATAGATTTCCTTGTTGGGAAGTCTCTCTTAACTACTCGGTTTTTGTCATCTCAGCCTGATTTACTAGTCGTTAGCATCCATACATTGTGATTTCTGGCGCATTTTTCTTCTTAGCTAAGACATTAATTATTTGAGGTTCTACATTTGTCATCTAAGAATGGTACATGCCTTCTTCTTCTTCTTTCAGCTCGATTCTCTTGAAAAGATGAGTAAACTTCTTGATGCGTGTAGGGGTCTTGGAGTTGATACCAATCCGGCAGTTTTGAACGAATTGGGAATCATTCCTCTGTTCTCTTGGTATCATGAGGCGAGTGGTTAATTGTTACTTCAGTTCTAGAGGTATCGATGCTTGTTCTTATCGGTCATTTGATGTTTTGATCTACTTCAGAGCTTTGACAGAGAAGTGGACATAAGGACATCCGCATTCCATCTTTGGAGATGGTGATTCACTTTCTTTTCCCCTAGTAAGGGTCTTAAGAGCTAATTTACAGTCGGTTTTTTTCTGTATCTATAACGCTGTTCGGTATATTTTCCCTACTAATATTTTCACTTATTATTCATGCTTCTTGTTCATGCGGTAGTCTCCTTGGTTATCTACTTTTGAATATAGTTCCATCAGTTGAAGTAGCACGCCTGTTGAAAATGCTCAATCAAATTAACCATCTAGAGCATTAATATTCTGTCTTTTCTCCTCAATCAGAATCCTTTATTGCAATTTTTGCATTGTTTGTTTTTTGATTTGGCTCTTTCGAGGTGGACTGTTTCTCTCTTCGTGTCTATTCTTTCATTTTTATTTGATTTCTCATTAAAAACTTGTTTTGATGGGAATAAGGAGTCTTCTTTCTTGGATAGTTCGGCTCCGAAAATTCAATGTTTTGTACCTATGGTGTGCTATTCCTTGTATAGTCTCCTAGAAAGTCCCATCTGTCACCTCATTATATTAAATGGTGAAGAATATTTTATCCAGCATACAATTCTTCAAGTAAGTTACTTTAGTGTAGTAGATGTTCCTGCTTGGTAATTTGATTGTGCTAGATGAAGACTGGAGATTATTATTTATCTTTCTTACTGCCTTTAAATCCTTCCATTTGATGATTATTCACCTCATAGATATTTGAGGTTTTGGTACTGATTCAAGTAACGCTCTAACTATTGTTCAAGGGGACTGTTTTCTGGTTCTATATTTTATGATTTTCATTTTTGGTACTGATTCAAGTAACGCTCTAACTATTGTTCAAGGGGACTGTTTTCTGGTTCTATATTTTATGGTTTTCATTTTCTTACATGAAAACTTAATTTTGATTATTTTGCGAGTCCATCTGATTATATGGAGTGAGCTAATTTGAAAAACGCATTGATTGGTATCATGGGCCAATGGCAGGTGTGCAAAGACTTCCATGCTTGCAAGTGGCCTGGAGAACTTTCAAATGAAGGCACTTCCCTAGCATTGTTCTTTGATGCGATGAACGAAAAGAATCATATAATGGTTGAGGAAATCCAGAGGACCTGCAGTCAAATAATTACATTTTCTCATTTTGTTCCAAGGTCAGTTTCAATACGCAAGCAAACACAAGCTTATTAATTGTATTGTACAAAAACTGATTCTCGTATTCGTATCATGGACTTTGATGGAGAGAATTTGATGTATCTTTATATCTTGTCAAATTATAAGTAGTTGGTGTCAATAGTATTCATACACGTGTTACTTGAGTAATGGGAAACTCCACTCTTTATACTTATGGCTCACCCTCGCTAATCTCTAGAGAGGCGCCCACCCCAAGCCCCATTCCCCACACTAATCTCTAGAGAGATTTCGCCCTCCCCAAGCCTAGAATCTCTAGAGAGATTTCGCCCTCCCAAGCCTAGAATCGTAGATGGTATCGCCAAAGCGAGCTTAGCTTAATGGTAATTGGCATATACCTCTTGTTGTGAGTTCGAATCCCATTCCAACATGTTATACTAAGAATCATAGATGGTATCACCAAACATCCCAAGCTAAATCCTTACCAGCAAGAGCCTTTGTGAAGTTAAAAGGGCGTGAAAAATG